TTAAGCAGAAACAGCAAAGGAAGGCGCTGCAGCAGCAGCCATACTATTCGCTGGCGTTCCCAACGCCAGCAGCACGTGCTGGCTGCAGCAGCAGCAGCAGCAGCTCCCGCTGCTGCAGTTGCTGCTGGGGGCCCACGATTGTGGGGCCCGTGAAGGCCCGAGAAAGAAGCAAATAACTCTTGTCTTTGGATTTATTTGCCTTTATTTGTGTTCATCGGCGTAGAAGGCTGCGATTGCTGCTGCTGCTGCTGCTGCTGCTCCCGCCAGCGTCTGCAGCAAACCGACATCTCGATCCTTGCGCCGAAGCAAGCGACTTCATTGACCAGCAGCAGCAGCAGCAGCAGCAGCAGCAGCGACGCGAGTAACAACAGGAGCAGCAGCAGCAGCGCTGCTTACGGGACACACGCCGCCCTCCAGAGCGTCCAAACCCTGCACCAAACCCTAAACCCTAAACCCTAAACCCTCGGAAAATGGCAACTGGAAAGAAGCAGACAGAAAGCGAAATGCTGGCCGAGAAGCTGCTGCAGGGCTGGACTATGCTGAGCGAAAATTGCCCCTACGTGAGAAGCAAACCCTAGTCTGTAAACCCTAGCCGGCCCATTTCAAGGGTTTAGGGTTTAGGGTTTGGGGTTTGGCCTAGGGTTTGGCCCTGAGGCGAAGCCCAAACCCTAAAAGAGAGTATTTGATGCTGCAGGTGGGGGGTTTGGGGTGTATGTTCAGTGCAGCAGAGTCCCCCTGATGCGGCAGCGACAAGGAAAGGACTGGTGCGTCGCCTGCAGCAGATTCGCCCCCACAGACCCGGCGCAGCAGCAGCAGCAGCAGCAGCAGCAGCAGAAGCAGCAGAAGCAGCAGAAGCAGCAGAAGCAGCAGGACAAGGAGGAGGACGAGATGAGCGACAGCAGCAGCGAGAAGTCGGAGCGACTGGCTTCGGCAACGGGTGCTGCCCACTGCTTCAAAACCTGCTGCTGCTGCTGCTGCTGCTGCTGCTGCTGCTGCTTAATGTGCTGTGCAGCGCCACTTGCTGCAGCAGCAGCTGCTGCTTGGAGCGCTGCTGCTGTGGCGCTTCGTGCAGAAAGCTGCTGCGCTGCTTCGGTTTGCTGTGCATTTCCGTGCTGGATGCTGCTGTCGAGCTGTGGCTTTGCTGCAACTGCTGCTGCTGCTGCTGCTGCTGCTGCAGCTGCTGCTGCTGTTGACTTGCGGTGTATGTACAGGAGAACCCTTCGAGCTGCGGGGCTCCTTCAAGCTGCAGGCAACACCAGAAGAGCGTCTTGCTGCCTGCAGCGCAGCACTGAAGCGGGAGGGCGAAGCAGCAGCAGAGGCGCTGAAGAAGCAGCAGCAGCAGCAGCAGCAGCAGCAGCAGCAAGACTGTAGCCCAGCCTCCACAGCAGCAGAGAGCGCCTCTGTGGTGAGACTTCGGGCAAGCTGCGTTGGTCTAGGGTTTACGGCTTAGGGTTTAGGGTTTAGGGTTTAGGGTTTAGGGCTGCAAGGAGCGTTTGCTGCTGCAGCCTTCTGAAGAGCTTTTGCGCTGGGGAAACGAAGTCTTGGGCAGCCGACGCCAGCAGCAGCCACAGCAGCAGCAACAGCAGCAGCAGCAGCAGCCGCAACGGCAGCAGCAGCAGCAACAGGCAGGACCACCAGATAGGAAATCCACGCTGCACCAATGCAAGGCAATCCTCCTCACCAAAGTGCAGAAGTCAGTCCTCTCACGTGGCTAGCTAGCTAGCTAGCTGGCTAGCCAGCTAGCTAGCTTACTAGCTAGCTTGCTATCTGGCCAGCTAGCCAGCCAGCTGGCTACCAAGCTAGCTAATAATTTGGCTAGCCACCTAGCTAGCTAGCTAGCTAGCTAGCCGTCTTCTGCTGCTAGTCCCCTGGCCAGCCACAGCCAACCAGCTAGCTAGCTAGCTAGCTGGCTGGCTGACTGGATCGCGATTGCCTGTTGCCACTTGGCCCCTAGATTGCTGCTGCAACAGCTAGCCATTTTTCTAATCAGGCACGGCAAGCCAGCTAGCTAGTCAGGTAGCTAGCTAGCTTACTAGCTAGCTAGCTAGTCAGCTAGCTAGCCAGCTGGTTGAAGCCCTGGGGTTCTTTGGTTTATTTGGCCGTAAACTGCTGGCTAGCTGCTGGCTAGCTAGCTGTTGGCTAGCTAGCTGTTGGCTAGCTAGCTGCTGGCTAACTAAAGTTTAGAGCGGCAACTGCTCAGCTAGCTGCTGCTCTGTGCTGTTCCCTCAGGTACAATGGGATGCTGCAGGCGGAGAGGGGGTCGATTGAAAGGTCTGCTGCTGCTGTTGCTGCTGCTGTTGCTGTTGCTGCTGCTGCTGCTTTTGCTGCTGCTGCTTTGGTTGATTGTGCTGCTGCTGCTGCTTTTGCTGCTGCTGCTTTGGTTGATTGTGCTGCTACTGCCGAGGCCCTAAACCCAACCGTAGATAGAAATTCCTAAATGAAACCCCCAGGATTCCAAACCCTTACACTGCTGCTGCTGCTGCTGCTGCTGCTGCTGCAGAGATTTTCACCTGCTGGCTGCTTTGAAAGAATCTCTTGAAGCGCTGAAGGTCCTCGAGACGATGACGCAGTAGCAGCACAAGCAATTGCAGTGGACTGCAGCAGCAGCAGCAGCAGCAGCAGCTGAAAAGCGCTGTAGCGGCAGGAGCAGCATTGAAATGCGCAGGTGCAGCAGCAGCAGCAGCAGCTGCAGTGGGACTCTCCACCGCAGCAGCTGCTGCTGCTGCCATGTGTATACTGCGGGCAGCAGCACAGCCGGCTGCTTGGCGCTGCCGCTTCAGTGTGTTGCAGCAACAGCAGCAACAGCAGCAGCAGCAGCAGCAGCAGCAGCTGCAGCAGCAGCTGCAGCAGCAGCAGCAAGATTACCTATATACTTCCTTGTAATTTGTCACTTTATGCACTGTTTTGCGTGGGGCTTTTGCGCATGCACTTTAAATTTGTAAGTAGCCTTAGTCCTACACCTACGATAAAGATGGGCTGCAGCAGCAGCCATTGCTGAAGCTGCAGCAGCAACAGCTGCAGCAGCAACAGCTGCAGGGGGTGCTGCTGCACGCCCGTTGCTGCCGCAGCAGCAGCAGCTGCTGCTGCTGCAGTGTCCCTTAAATCTGGTATCCGTCTGCAACACCAGCAGCTCATGCTGCGGGCCGCCACGTTACACTTAAATCGCTCGCTGCTGCTGCTGCTGTAGCAGCAGCAGCAACAGCAGCAGCAGCAGCCGCAGGTCAGGGACTGTTGCGCCCCTGCTTGTCGAGGCTGCTGCTGCTGCTGCTCTGCAGTTGCTGCGGGCCTACCAAAAGAAGCTGACGGCGACGGCAGCAAAGGCCACAGCAGCAACAGCAGCAGCAGCAGGAGTTGCTGCTGCTGCTGCATTCATCTTGTGATTCAAAGGGTTGCACATAGCCACAACGTTCTGAGACGACAAGTCCACTTGGTTGCGGCAGGAGACGTACGAGACCTGCGCAGCAGCAGCAGCAGCAGCAGCAGCAGCAGCAGCAGCAGCAACACCAAAAATGACAGCAATGCAGCCACAGAAGCCGATAAAGAAACAAAATGAATGGCAAATCGAGGCAGAAGGCAAGAGGAAACACCAAAAGCGAGAGGGAGATAAAAAGAGGAACAAAAGAAGAAAAAAAGAAACACAAAGATGCAAAAAAAGACAAAGACAGAAACTATTAAGCAGCAAACTGTGCCAATGGCCCCAGCCAGCCAAAGGCCGCAGCCACGTGAGGAGAAGGCAGGACACAGAAGCAAGTGAAACAGCTACAGCCATGTACAGCAGCTAGCTGACTAGCTAGCTAGCTAGCTAGCTAGATAGCTAGCTAGCTGGCTAGCTGGCTAGCTGGCCAGACGGGAGCCTAGCTAGTAAGCCGAGAAGCGCCGTGGGTAGCTAAGCAAGCTTAGGCCGTGACTAGCTACGCGATCAGCGAATGCAGCAGCTAACTCGCCAGCCTTAGCTAGCTAGTTAGCCATGGCTAGCTGGTGAGCGTTGGCTCGCTGGCCTGCTTGCTAGGCATGGCTAGCTGTCCGCCGTGGCTAACCGGTTCACTACGGCTCGCTGGCTAGCTGGCTCGCCGGCTCGCTTGCTGCCTAGCTAGCTAGCTGGCTAGCTGGCTCGCTGGCCAGCTGGCGAGACGTGGCTAGTTAGCCACCTGGCCAGCTGGCCACCTGGCTAGCTGGATAGGGTCTCGCTGGCTAGCTGGCCAGCTGGCCAGCCGTGGCTAGCTAGCCAGCTAGCTAGCTATCCAGCTAGCTAGCTAGCTAGCTAGCTGGCTAGCTAGCGAGTTACCTCGTTGTTGGCCCACTGGGCGTACTGGCTCTCGTCGCAGACACAGGCCCAGGGGTAGTCGTTGTCCGAAGGATACATGAAGTTGAAGTAAGAGCCCTGGTTGCCGCCTTCGAAGTTTTCGGCGTTGGCCGTGCTGGAGCCTCCGAACAAAGTGTCCCAAATGCTGCCGATCACGCCCTGCAGCTGCAGCAGCGAGGCCTCCAGTTCCTCCCTGCTGCTGCTGCTTCTGCTCTTGCTGCTGCTGCTGCTGCTGCTGCTGCTGCTGCGCTCGTCGCCGCCGCCCTCGCTGCTGCTCCTCTTGCTGCTGGGCTCGCCGCTGCGGTCGCTGCTCCGGTTTTTGCTGCTGCCGTCGCTGCTGCCGGCGCTCGGCGCGAGGGTCGTGCTGCTGCTGCTGCTGCTGCTGCTGCTGCTGCGCGCTTCTGCGCTGGAGTCTGCCGGCTGCGCTGCTGCCTCGTCGCTCGCTTTCTTCTTCTTCGTGAACTTGCCCACAATTGGGGCCGCTGAATACAAACGCAAATATTCAGCAGCAACAAACACGCTCGACTGCTGCTGTTGCTGCTGCTGCTGCTGCTGCTGCTGCTGCTGTGGCTGTGGCTGTGGCTGTGGCTGTGGCTGTGGCTGTGGCTGTGGCTGTGGCTGTGGCTGGGACCGCCGCTGTCCCTGCGGTCGCTTTCTGCACTGCTTCTGCTAACCAGATGCTCCATGTGCTGCTGCTGCTGCTGCTGCTGCTGCTGCTGCTGTTTCATTGCAGCAGCTGCTGCGTCCGCTTACCGAGAGCCACTGAGGCCTCCTTTGCCTGCTGCCGCGCTAAGCTGCAGGCCTCTGCCTGCTGATCTGCCTCGCAAACCTCGACTGCGTTTTTGGCCACTTTTGTGGCTTCAGCAAAGTGCTGCTGCTGCTGCTGCTGCACCACCACCTTCGCAAGTGACCCCCGGGAGGCCCCCCGAGCCAGCAGCACCTCCAAAGGCTGCCAGTGATCCCTTGCCACTGACTCCAGAAGCTCTTCAACAGAAAACAGATGAGGCTTGGAGGTCACGTGGGGCTTTTCCGGCTCTTGGGGTGTATCTACATCTCCCTGGGCTGCCCCGTGCAGGTCCAGCAGGGCCCCCGGGGGGGCCCCCAGGGGCCCCTGGGGGCCCCCCTGGGGAGCTGCAGACAGAGGCAAGCCTACGTGGACGCCGCTTCGGTGGTAGGAGAAAGAAGGAGAGGCTGAGCAGCAAAACAAACACAGCAGACAGGGTGCACGGTCTTGCTGCAGCAGGCGCTGGTGCAGCAGCTCTCGCTGCTGCTGCTGTTGCTGAAGCCGACGCTGACACTGGCTCTGTTGCTGCTGCTGCTTCTGGTTTTTGCGCGTTGGCGCCGCTGCTGCTGCTGCGGCCGCTGCTCTGCTGCAGCTAGCTCGCAATCGATGCGGGCCGTGAGCGATGAGAGAGGTGTATAGACACCCGACACTTCCAGCAGCAGCAGCAGGCAGCAAATATAAATAAGGCAGCAGCACCAAAAAAGAATGAAATGCGGCTCATAACGCTACAAAAATCTCGACAGCCTCTTGCCGTTGTTGCTGCAGCGGCTCGTGCTGTGCTGCCGCTGCTGCCCTTGTGTCCTGCTTTTTGCTGCAACGACTCACACATTAGGCAGAAGAAAAATACCAAAAAGGGGAAAAGAGGCTGCTGCAGCAGCAGCAAGCCTCTGTTCGCTGCTGAGGCCATTGCCATCGCTACAAGGAACTGCAGGCTCGAGAACAGGTCATTCTTGCTGCTGCTGCTGTTGCTGCTGTTGTTGCTTTGCTGCTGCACTTGACGCACGAAATGAAGTTGCTGGAGTCAAAACTGCAAAAGAGTTTGGAAAATGAGGGGGTTTGCATGCTTTTCCGCAGCAGCAGCAGCAGCCCGTTGGCCGAGCTGCTGCTCTGCTGCTGATCTCACAGCCCTCCGCGGCAGCAGCACCACCACCAAGAGTCACCTGCTGCAAGCCCACGAATTCCGTGCATACGATTCCCCACTTCTTACATTTTTTAAAGCAGAAGGAGAGGACCATATCGTTTTTTAAGCACAGCAGCAGCGGTAGCGGCGAGCAGCAGCAGCAGCAGCAGCAGCAGCAGCTACGATGACTTGTACCGAAGCTGCCCCGGGGAAGACCCGCATCGGTGCGTCTTTGCGTTGAGCGCTTGGTGTTCGTAATTGAGGTGTATGTACACCTCAGTGCGCGCGTTGCAACCCCCAACTCCGCCAGGTGTACGCGGAAGGCAAGTGCTGCAGCAAAGACAGGGGGGTTTAAGAAAGTGAAATTCAACTTCTGGGGTTTGGCTTTCAGGCTGGATCGGCACGGGAGTCATGGGCCGATCAATGTGCGAAAACCTCCTCAAGAAAGGCTTTTTGTTAACTGTATACAAGTGAGCCCTTTGCTGCTGCTGCTGCTGCTGCTGCTGCTGCTGCTCGGCTGTCCTTGTTGCTGCGGCTGCAGGCCTTTCGTTCGTCAGCCGCAGCAGCTTCCACCGAAGCAGTTGTCGATCCCGTAGGGGCTGCCCCATAACCAGCAGCAGCAGCAGCAGCAGCAGCAGCAGCCGCACTGCATCAGCAGCAGAAGCAGCAGCAGAAAGTGTGGGGCTCCTGTTCTGTCTGCAGCCGCACCCCCAGCAAGGCAGCGCCGCTGCAGCAGCAGGGAGCAGAGTTGGCTGAAAGTCCTGAAGCAGTGGCAGCAAAAAGTGATGTTTTATGTCTCATGGTGGGGACCCCAGAGGACGTGCAGCAGCTAATGTGTACGTAAACCCTAAACCCTAAACCCTAAACCCTAGCTTGCAGTCACCTGCGCGCTCGGCAGGAGCGCCAGCAACCAGCTGAACAGCAGCAGCAGCAGCAGGCCCTGCAGCACGCAGCAGCAAAGCCCCTGAGGGCCTCTTAAAGCCCTGTGGGGGGCCCCCCTTAATGCCCGTTGGGGGCCACCGTCAGGTACCCTGGGGGCCCCCCATAGTGTTGAATTGGCTTTTTTTGGTGTTTGGGGGCCCCTATGGTGGTGCCCTTTTGGTTTTCATTATTCATTTTTTTGTTTATTTCCTTATATTGCATTTTATTTTGTTTATCAGCTGATTTAGGGTTTGCTGCTGTCCGGCCTTTTCTAGATTAAAGTGCAAATAAACAAAACAAACAAGCAAATACACTTATTTGGGTCTTTGACTTATTTTTCTTTTAGTTGGAAAAGAGGGCTTAGCTGAAAAACTTGTGAAAGGCTCTTGCCTTATTGACTTCACCACCTCCAGCCCAGCCCTTGCAGACCAAGTGTACGTACACCTCAAGGCTAGGGGTGTTCATGCTTTAGACGCCCCCGTCACAGGAGGCAAGCAAACCCTAAACCCTAAACCCTAAACCCTAGGTTGGTGCCGAGGAGAAGCCAGACGGGAGCCTGCGCGCCTGCTGCTGAGGTCTGCAGCTCTTGCGCGTAATAAGGCCATCAGTGGTTCAGGGCTCAGGGTTTAGGGTTTAGGGTTTAGGGTTTGCGAACTGCAGGAGATGTGGGGGCTAGGAATGGCAAACTGACAGTCATGGCAGGAGGAGATGCAGCAGCAGTTGCAGCGATGCAGCCGCTGTTCCAGGCTTTCGCAACGACAATCATACACACTGGGCCCGCAGGATCAGGCAAGGGTTTAGGGTTTAGGGTTTAGGGTTAAGGGTTTACGGTTCAGCGTTTAGGGACGAGGAATGGTAAATTGCTCAGAGGGATCAGGGCAGCAGTTGCGGCAGGTTCAACTTAGAGGCTAGGTTTTGAGACAAGACTAGCGAAGCTAGAGAGGAGGCTCGCATGCGGCTTGCAGGGTTTAGGGTTTAGGGTTTAGGGTTTAGAGCTTTGGGTCAATTTGCAGGCCAGAGGACGAAACTTGCTAACCAAATAACGCTCTGCACAAATCTAGTGGGACTGGCGGAGGGTGAGTTTTGCAGGGTTTGTGGCGAGGGTTTAGGGTTCAGGATAAGCGGTTGACTTTGAGGCTGAGGGTTTAGGCTTTAGGGTTTAGGGCCTGGGTTTTAGGTGTCATGAGGGTTCAGGGTTTAGGGTTTAGGGTTTGTGCTGCAGGTTTGCTGTTTGCTGAGCGAGTCGGTTTAGACCTGGAGAAAACCCTTTCAGTTCTTTCAGGGGGTGGCGCCGCCAGCTGGTGAGGCATGCAGCAGCAGCAGCAGCAGCAGCAGCAGCGGCAGCAGCAGCATCCTCAGAAACAGCAGAAGCATACACGGCAGCAGCAGCTGCTGCTTTATCCACTGTGCGCCTGCAGCAGGCCGTTAGAAATTAGAAGCAAGCCAACATTAGAAGCCCACCGGCTTCAGGGTTTAGGGTTTAGGGTTCAGGGTTTGGGGTTTGAAGCTGGTTCATGAGGCACCACACTGCTTGGTGTTTCTGTCTGCTTGGCGGTAACTGCAGAGCTTCATCGCAGTGCCTGTAGTGCTTGACTTGACGCTCGCATGAGGGTTTAGGGTTTAGCGCTTAGGGTTTAGGGTTTAGGGTTTGGGGTTTAGGTCGGTGTCCACTTACGGGCCTCGAATCCGCGACGGCGACTTCCGCCCTGGCTTCTTCGTCGCCCATTTGATTAAAGACCTTCGTCTAGCTTTGGAAGAGGCATCTCGAGCCAAGTTGGCCTTGCCAGGTGCCAAACCCTAAACCCTAAACCCTAAACCCTGAACTCTAAGCCTTTATCCCTAGGCGCTGAGGAAGGGATTCTAGTCTGGCCTGCTCCAACGGGGGTCCCTCCGCTCCTTCAGCGGAGGTGTGGCGGCCCCTGCTGCGCGCTGAGGAGCTAGGGTTTAGGTTTTAGGGTTTAGGGTTTGCGTTTCAGGCCTGAGTCTGGCGCTGCAGCTGTACCAGGCTTTAGAAGCCCAAGGAGGAGGCGCATTGGGAGTGCATGCATTAAAGTTGGCTCTCAGCAGCATTAATGAAAAGCAAAAGAATGTTCAACAAGTTGCTGAGCAAATGAATTAAACCCACAGAAACCTGCGGCAGCAGAAATCGCTGCTGCAGCAGGGGGGGCTGGAGCAGCAGCAACTGCTCTAGTGGCAACTGCTGCTGCTGCTGCTGCAGCTTCTGCTGCTGTAATTCGTGCAGCTCATGCTGCCATTGCAGCAGCTGGTTTAGCCAGTGCTATTGTTGGCCGCTGCCGTGACTGCAGCAGCTGATGAGGCCATTGCAGCGGCAGCGGTTGCTGCTGCTGCTGTTTTAGCAGCTGCTGTGGCTTTTGTGGCTGCTTGGTGCAGCAGCAGCAGCAAACAGTAGCCGCTGCTGATGCCCTAGTAGCCACAGCTGCTAATAAGCAGCGACTGCAACAGCTTGCCTTGTTTTATATTTATTTCTTTTGTGTCCACATTTACTTCTCTCATTTTCTAATTTAATAATAATATTCACCACAAGTGCCTGCGCACCATGCTGCATGCATCCCAGGTGTCGGTACACTGCAGCCCTCTGAACTTCAACAGCTGCCCCGCTCTGCTGCTGTGCAGCTTCAGGTAGCTACTTCCCTAGTTTTATGGCTAGCCAGCTAGCCAGCTAGCTAGCTAGCAGCTAGCTGCTGGGGATCGGGCAAAACGGTGAATAATGCATTTCAATAATGCATTTCACACATTTCGAGGCTGCTGCACTCACGGCCAGCAGCTCTTTGGCCGTTTCTTTGTTTCATAAATTTTCATTTTTTGCACATTTAGTTTTTTATTCCTTGCTTGGGGCCGATGCACAAATGGAATAGTACAAATGGAATGGACTCGCTGCGGTGACCCTGCTAGAAATGAAGTCCTTGGAAACGCAAACCCTAAACCCTAAAACCTAAACCCTCGCTCGCACTCAAACCTAGTGTGCTCACAAGCCGCTGATGCCGGTGCAGCTCAGCAAGCCTGTGAGCCGAAGCTCTAACCAACACACAACAAACCCTAAACCCTAAACCCTAAACCCTCACACGAACAAGTGCATCGCCGGCTTTGCAGCCCGTGGGGGCCCTATAAAGTCGTAGTGGGCTGAAACACCCTAAACCCTCAATTACAACCTCAAATCCTTACCGCTAGCTACTTAGACCCTAAACCCTAATGGGGGATCCATCAAGCTGGAACGCAGGGGCGGTGTGTGGGGGGGAGGTGCCCGCGGTTAGAAGTATCGTTTTTTTCGAATTTAAATGATTTAAATATATTTATTCTTCCTTAATTTAAAAAGACTAACTTTGGGGCCCCTCGCAGAAGCGCCCTGGGCTTGAAGCGCATGCAGCAGCCGCCCCGAGGGGAGCGTTGGGGTTAGGGTTTAGGGTGTAGGGGTTGTGTTGAGTTTGTTTTGTGGGCTTTCTTTGTCTCTTCTTGCCGATCTTTCTTGCCATTAAACCCAGAACTTAATACAAAATGGCAGACAAAGAAACAGAAACCCAGGCCCCAGCCCAAACGGCTGAGGATGATGAGGTAGCAAACCTAGAGCAAGAGGTCACAGAGGGAAACTGGACTCGCCCGGAGGTAAACCCAAACACCAAACCCTAAGCCCTAAACCCTAAACCCTAGCAGCTGCGTGCAGCCCCCCAGGACTCCTTCCTGGGTCTGCTTGCACACTAGGGAGCCTTTAGGCCTGCGCCTAAAATCGAGCTGGGGGGCCCCCGCGGGGCCCCTTTGTGGGGCCCTCTTCATTTACTTTTCTGGAAGATAGGCAGCAAATTGAGGCTCTATTCATTCCTCAGCAGCAGCAGCTGCTGCTGCTGCTGCTGCAGCCGATTGGTGGTGTGGAGGAGTTTGCGGTGTCTGTACACTTGGATATATGTTTCTCCTGAAGTTGTATACTCTGTTTTCCTGTGTCTCTCGTTGAAAGGTGTAGGCTTTAGCTGTATTGACACATGTGCTGCTGCTGGTCCTATTGCTGCGACTATTGCTGCTGCTGCTGCTGCTGCTGCAGTTAGTTAAAGCTAGAGCTTAAACGCTAAAGGCTGGCTTTCGTGCTGAAGTGCAGCGGCGCCTTGTCTTCGCAGCTGCAGGGCCGGCACCTGTTTACTTCCTCTTGTTTGCCATTATAGAACTGGGGAGTTCGGCTTTAGTTTCAGGATTTAGGGTTTAGGGTTTAGGGTTTAGGGTTTAGGTTTGGGCTGTAGGTTTTAGGATCGGGTGCGTAAGCAGCTGTCTCAGTGTTCGGAATGGGCCTGCTGCTCATAGTTTGGTGGTTTTCCGGCGCTGCAGCCTTTTTGTGCTTTTTGTTTAATTCAAATATGCAAAAAGCCATTCGAAAAGTGCATGCATGCATCTGAATTTGGGGCTTTTTTTTCGCTTCTTTGCCTCCGCTTTGTTCCACAGAAAGTGCCAGTCTTCTCAGTGTTCCTATTTGCACTTTTTTTCCATTTTTGTTTCCCGAGTACCCGAAAAATATCATTGTTGCTTCCTTTTTGGTTTCTGCATTTCCTGAAATGCAGAAATCAAAAACTTTCATCAACGAAACGGATTCTATTTGGTTTTTGCAGGTCGAAGTGCACGAAGTCAAAGTGGAAACGGGAGAAGAAAGCGAAGACACTTTTTGGAAGTGCCGTTCAAAGCTGTACAGGTGGGCTGCTGGAGGCGAGTGGAAAGAGCGGGGCCTGGGCGAGGCGAAGCTGCTGCAGCACAAGGAAACTAAAAAGATCCGATTTCTTCTGCGCCAGGAGAAGACCCTTAAGATTGTTGCCAACCACTACGGTGAGAAGCTCCAGCTGCTGCTGCTGCTGCTGCAGCTGCTGCTACAGCTGCAGCTGCTGTCGCAGCTGCTGCTGCTGCTACAGCTGCAGCTGCTGCTGCAGCTGTTGCTGCATCTGCTGTTGCTGCTGCTGTTGCTGCTGCAGCTGCTTGCTGCTTTTGCTGCCGCTCTCTTTGCCTTCTTTCTGTCTACTTTCGCGTTTCCTGCATCTGTGGAGCTATCCAGTGATTGCATTTTGCAATTAGTGCATCTACTAATGTGCTTGCAAATCGGAAATCTGATCTGCTTTTGATTTCAGTTGTGGATACCTATTAGAGAGTTCATCATATGCTTTCCACGCGTTGATCTTTCTATTCCTTACCCACGCAGCAAATGGCTGTACATGCACTCGTGTTTTAATGTTGGCTATTTATTTATCATTTTTATTCAAGCAAATGATTCGCTTTCTTATTCACTGCTGCCAAGGAGGCCACAACTGAGCGAAGACGTTAGCATTTCCATCGAAACTTTCTGCATTTTGTTTCGCGATCCGAAATGTTTATTCGAATTCTTTTTATTTTTCTCAATATTTGTGTTAATTGTGCATTTTTTTCTTTTTCCAGTGGTGGCGACTGACGTTTACTGCAAGCTGACACCCAACGTCAGCTCCGAAAAGATATGGGTCTGGACGGTGATGGATTTCGCTGAGGGGGAGTTGAAAAATGAGCAATTTGCTCTAAAGTTTGGTCAAGTTGAACGTAAGATTCTCCATTTCAAATTGAAAATTCACTTGCTTTCACGGTTATTCTACTGTGGGCAGCTGGGTTTCTTTCTGGTATAGACGGATTTGGCCTGTTTTTGGAGTTTCTGAACGGGGAATATGAATTCATTAGAGCGTATGGCTGGGGGGTCTATTCTCAAGACTCAGGATTTAGGTCTTGGTGCTTGTTTGCGCAGAGGCGAAGGAGTTTAAGGAGAAGTTTGAGGAAGCTGCCGCCATTAATTCGAAGCTGTTCGGCATTGGCGATTCGGCGAAGGAGGGAGAGAAAACAGAAGAAAAAGAAGCCGAAAAAAGCAGCGAAAGCAAAGATGAGGAGACAAAGAAGGAAACCGAAGCGGCTGCAGCTAAGACAGAGGCAGCAGCAGAAGTGGCGAAAGACAAGGCTGAATCAAAGACAGAGAATGCGTGACTGCAACATTTATGATAGCCATCCTAATTACAGTTGTAGTTAGTATTTGTACCTCTATGATGCTGCTTTGGACCCGTCGCGTTCGCCGCTAAACAAAACTTAGACGCTGAACCGTTCATCCTGACCTCCACAGGTTCGTTGCGCGGTTTTCGTTGTTAACGCTTCCATTCCCAAATTTAAAAAATTAAATTTAAACAAATAAAGGAGAAATAGGATGTGATATTCTTCTGAGGGACAGAAGAGAGCGCGCGGGGTGCTTGCACCTGGCGCGTCCCAGATCATCAATTGTTTATATTTCTTAATGATTATTAATACTAGTAATATTATTATTGTTATTTGCATCTAATGTAATTACCTAGGCAACTATTCCTTCACTTCCACAACTTCCGCTGAAGTTTATCTTTCTTTACCCAATGAATAAATGCGCGCAGTGTCTTTACTGTGGGAAGACAGCACTGCATTTTGACTGTGTAATAAGTGAGTCACACTTAATTATTCGTGGTCTGCTAGCTAGGCCAGGCGACTAGCGCCAGCTAGGCAATCGTAGATATTCAAAATGGTTCAAGCACCCTTGCGACTTGCAGTTGAGCACAAAGGCGTTTTCTTGAGTAGATGAGAAAAACTCTTTAAACATATGCAGCACCATTCTTGGCTACGACACATCAATCAGACAGAGTGGGATGGGCTATTGACTCACAACTTCGTTGGAGAAAATGGTGATGCTCAGTATGAGTCGACTCCCCCAGTGTTGATCACCCACACCTTAATATGCAGATAGGGAACTGACACAGCTAAATATTTTGAGGGCGCCCGAGCTGTTTCTGTCCTTCAGGACAGTGGCCTTTAGTTGTGACACTGACTAGACAAGCTAAATCCACAACTGAAGGTGTAGCTAAACGGAGTAAGTAGGTGACATCGTGCAATTCCGGCAAGTGTAATGCAATGAACTTTAGCAATTCGTCTATAGAGTTCGACTTGTCCGAAATATAGCATGCCGCGATATGATGTGGCATTTGTTCGGGCAAACCCTGACTTCTGAAAAATAAGCTAAAACACCTAAGTGCAAACTAACAATTTGAATAGATCCTAGATGTGGCATTTAAGATGGATGATGTCAAGTGAAGTGAGACAAATGTTGCCGAACGAGACGTAGAGAGGAATAGAAGGAAAGATGAGTCCATATGAGAAACGAGAATCAAATCGAAACAGTTTAAATCTGCACATTTGGAAGGAAGATGAATGCAACATATTACGCACACATTAAAGTAAGCTTGGTGTGGAATGAGTGTTAGTGAAAAAGACGACAAACACGACGCAAACGGATCAGATGAGACTTTGTAATCTGGAGACACAAAGGATTAGCTCAATACTTTTCCTTTTTTTTCTTAAATTCATTGTATAATCCGTCACAGCACGCGCATAGCATTGAAACCGACACATAAGATTCCAGAACTGCCGTCAGGGGTCGCGGAACTGTGCGCATTTGGTGGAATTAAAGGATGAGTGAATACGCCCAACAGCTCCCGTCTTGTAAATCTATGTTTAGATTCATGTCAACTCCAATTAAATTGAAAAAAGGGACAGAAGGAAACCACCTGCTGCCGCCAGCCCCACCGCAAGCACCGACGGAGCAGCAGAGGGTGCAGCGGACGGCCGAGGCTTCTCAGCACTGTTGAGAGGAGATGTTGTCGATGTTGTTGTTGATGATGTCGTTGTTGATGTTGTTGTTGATGATGTCGTTGTTGATGTTGATGATTCCGAGCCTCCGCCACCGGCTCCTCCTTCTTGTGCCTGTGCTTGTACAACAACACCTCTACTCGGAGCGGCTGAGTCTCCCTCAGGGGCCGTACGAGCTAAAATGCTCTCCAGCTCACGCATAGCTTCCTCTTCCGGAGAAAGGTCTTGCTTCTCAGGAACAGCAGCAGAAGGTGCAGCAGCGGCAGGTGCAGCAGCAGCAGGTGCAGCAGCAGCAGGTGCAGCAGCAGCAGGTTCAGGAACAGCAGCTGCAGGAACAGCTGGCTCAGGTGCAGCAGGCACAGAAGCAGGAGGCGCAGGAGGAGCAGGCGCAGCAGCAGCAGCAGGAGCAACAGTGGAGGATTGCGTTGCTGAGTCTGCGTTAAGTTCTGCTGCTGCTTGAAGAAGTGTCTCTGCTGCTCCAACAATTATGTCATTTCCATCATCAGCCGGCACACTCGAGAGATCTGCAACAGCGCAGCAGTAGACACTTGAATTGCTTATTTAATTGAAAAGAAAATTGCACTCGCAAAGAAAAAGGCTGTCTAGACAGCACAGTCGTTGAATGCTGCAGCAGCTAAATTTCCTGCAGTCGAAACTGTTTCCTTACCCTCCTGTGGCCGCTCAGGCTTAGCCGGTGGCACTTCAGCTCCTTGGTCGGCTCCTGCAGCAGCAAAAATCACAATACAAACACAGAATTCTTAAAAGAACCTTGGACTTAAGGGTTTTCATGCTGTTTCTGTTCCTGGTGCTGCTGCCTATGCATAGAAAGCTTTGATTCAGATTGTGTGTACACGATGCGGATCAAGGCCCTGTGTAGATGAATACTACCTCTGAAGGCCCGTTAAAACATAGCTCGTAAACAAAAACAACAGTTTCTTTTGCCCGAACATGTTGGAGGGAAAAAGGAACGGAACTCAGAGAGAGGCAACATAATGGCTCACAGTGGGCCGTCATCACCCCACCGCCACTCCCCCACATACTGAGCGCTTGAGAGCGGATGAAGCCAATTGTTTGCAATTTACATTTTAATCGTGAAATGTAGACAAGATTTAGAAACAAATTTGATATAAATTTGTAGTTGTACCGGTATCAAGGGGAGCCGCCAGAGACAGCTGGTCCTCCATCGCACACAAGGCGCTAGCTGAGAGAGCCACTAAGACGTTGAGGATTCCCATTTTGACAACGGAAACAAATAGAAAAGGGAAAACAACAAATAAAAAAGGAACGTATGCCGATTAATCAGAAAAAAAGTCAAGCAGAGAAGGCCACGAGCAGCACAAGGTCAACTCTCCGCTACCGAAGGGGACCGGGGTGGCCGGCCCCATGCCCGCTCTGCTCTGAGTTAGAGGGTGCAATGCTTGTGTTGAGGAAACGGGGCAAAATATATCATTACGACCTAAAATCACTAAAATTGTTGAATTTAAATTCTAATTTGAGGCTCATGTGGTCTTCATCTTATCAGCCGTGCCCAATTTCTGCTGAGGATCGGGCACTGGTATCGTACCGGCGGCAGCACAGACGGCCAACAACAACATTGGCGTTTCTGATTTTAGTTTTAGTTCTAGTGGAAAACTTTTCATATAACTTAAAGGAGTTGAAAAAACACTCGCAACTGCGCTTTTGATGCAGCTTGCTTACCAGTGAGGCTTAACAGTCCCTCTGCAAGTGCGTGTGCGTGGGCACATTGAAGGGAGGTGAAATGAAACTTAGGAAAGAAAGTGCACACAAGCAAGGCTTCTTTGTTTCGGTTTATGAGTTATCCGAAGATAATCAGCAAGGCGGTAGGGGTTAGGCGGGCGCCGCAGCATGCGGTAACAAGCTCAGTGTGAGCTCTTAGGTTGTTTATTTCTTTCTGGAAAATCTGAGCCTGCGTCAATGCTTACTTGAAAAAAATTTAAACAAACAGCAAAGTGACTCGATGGTACAATAGATGGCCTCAGTAGCAAAGATATCTGTTGTGGATGGCCTGGTGTTCCAGGCCCCCTTGGGCCCAGTATAATCTGTTCGAGTTTCATTATTCTAGTTACACTGCGAGCATAAGCACTGGAAAAGGCCATGCTAAGATATGAAACTTTTGCTGAGGTGTGCATGAGAAATTATATCAAACGTGTCTATTAGTCTTTCAAGAGGCCACGGGACCTTTTGCCCAGCCGTGTCTCATGGAACAAACTTGCGCAACAAACTCTTGCTGGCTAGACTAATCCACGAAAAGGCTACTGCTAGTGAGAAAAAAATACTTGAAATTTGCAGTTAGCTTGACAGAAACCCAAGTGGAAACCAAAAGGGTTTTGCATATTGTTTACAAACAGCTACAACGTGTCTCGCAGTGATCTAAGCAGCTGAAAGTCAGCAAAAAGTTAGTGGCTTGCCAAGGCTAATCACTTGTTTGTAGCACTAAGGCAGTGCCCGACAATATCCAGAATGAAGGGTGCTCGGAGTAAGGAAGCCATGCATCAAACACCCATCCCTCGCCCATGGCGTTGCGGCGGGCTTGGGTGGCGTAGACTGGAGTGCGCAGCAAGCTACGAACATTCAGGTGGTGAGCCTCGACAGGGACGACTTTAACCAGAGGCATTTCTTCAAACAGCTTGCGGGGGGTTTGAGGCGCCAAGCGGCCAACAGTGCTGTCCCAGCGAGCGCCCTGTCGCATGCACACAACGGGCACAGAAATCGGTCAACTTTCGTTGAAAGGCCTTAAATTTTCCTTCCCGAACACAATGACAGCACGTGAAACAAAGCTCGGAAGTCCAAGCTCACTGCTAAAGCCCAAAACAGACAAAACTCGGAAAAGTAGAAAAGGGGGTAAGGTAAGGAAATCGTGTTTTGTGTCACCTCAATAAACATTCCTTCGATGTAGGCTCCGTGCTCAAGCGTGCTTTCAATTTGCCCTGCAGCAGTCTTGTCCGTGACCTCTGTAAAGAGCACTAGCTTGTCTAGGGCCACCTTTTTCTTCCGACTCGTGACTTGAATGAGAGCCGTCAGCAGCGAATCCGGCGTATGCAGCCCTCCGAGCCAGTAGCAGCTCAACGTTCCCTGAAAGCGCAGAGGGCAGCAAATGCCACGAAAAGATCATACAACTTGCCAGTTGGAACTGCGTGCCCCTGAAATTATAAACGGCTGGATCCACCTCAGGCTGCAAAGGTTCAGGTTGCAGCCACAGTGAAAAAAGGAAGGCTCGTCTCGCCTGTTCTATCCAGACGGTGTATTGGTCAATGCGGCGCATCAAGTGGGACAGCCATGAGCCAAGAGGCTTCAGACTAGGAGGTGCAAGCATGCGCCATTGCCTGGGCAAGAATCCTGCTTGTAGCGACAGCGCCAATTCATCGAGGTCTCCAGACATCCCAATGTCTCCGCGAAGTGCACGGGAGAGATCGTGCAGGGACTGAGTCATTGTTTCCGTCAAAAGGTTGAGCCTATCAAGCTCCTGTGTGTCAAAAGTGCCGGACAAACTAAAACTCGTGATCTTTACCCTCTTGTGAGGTTTCTTATATGGATCTCGGCTTGCTTGTAACTACACAAAATACAAAACTTTCCTGCGTGGGCTCTTTTCCACCGGCGCGTCTAGAGAGGTGCCGCTATGAGGTATTACATGCTTTGCAACCTGGCTACTCTGAGGCTTCCAGGTGGACCATCTTTCATTAAATATGACCTTTATGCAGCAATAATGAGGTGCTACGTCACTAAATATGCGATGATTTGCCGAAAGGAGTTACTACAATAAAAAGAGAAGGAAACATATACATGCTCGAAGAACGATGGTAGACACCTGTGCACGACTGGGCCTTTCTAAGGTCAGGGCCAAAGGGCTTTTAGGGTTTACCATGCGGTGTATTTGAGTTGCTGGAATATGATTGCGAGAGTGAAACAGCATAGTTACCTGGGCCAGCACGACTTGCGTGGGCGTGAGTGCTTCCGTCCCAGGGGAAAAGTATAGTCCCCTCTCCGGCATTTTATCAAGTATTTCTGAAATAGTCGCCACTAGAGCCTCTTCTTTGAGATTACCCACGGCAGAGTCATTACTGTTTCCTGAGTTGTTCGCAATGTTAATCTTCAAAAGTCCAAGCCAGATGCTTTTCGCGTTGTCGACGAAATAGCTGATTTCGGCGTTGGCGTGAAGTCCAAACACTTCAGGGGTGTTGGTTGCTGGCATGTTCTGCATGCATATGCTCCCGATCAAATGATGAACGAATCGCTAAGAATCAGTAGGCTCCCATGCATATAGTCCTACGTTATTGAAAGCAACAGCGTTCGATACAGTCAGCGCTCTTTCTCTGCCTGGTTGTAGAGGAGCCCAAAGCACACGCTTGAGTGGACTACAGTTCAGGAATGGAAGCTGCAGTCTGCGTCATCGCGCATCGTTTTTTCAGCGAAGCTGTGATCTAACGCCTATGGGCGTGGTTACCTTGATGAATTCTATGTGGCCGGCAATTGTGCCATCTGCCGGGAGTGTGTAACTAATGGGCGCTTTGGAGAAGCAAAACTGGCGGTAGTTATCAAAGACGAATTCTCCCAAGTACTCTTCGAGGTATGTTGCCAAAACCCGCCGGTCGTAGTCATCAGTAACGCGGCCGCCATACATAGCCTCTCCTATTAGATACCTGAGGGTTTCCCAAGGGATATCCGTTGCAGTCGGCACGGGACGAGTGGCCTGCAGCTCCTCCCCGTGATCTTCAGCCTCTCCAGGAAGCCAGTTTGGACCCTTCCCAATTTTACTCAAGTACATCTTCACCAGGCTCAAAGATATGGATAAATCGGACTCGTTGAAGTCATAAGGCACATTCCACCCGATTCTCCCGTATTTACGTCTCTCCTGTGGAGTAAATCGCACTCCACTTTCTCATCGTATTAACGAGGCCTAGGCTTTTCCTAGAAATATTCCACTTCGGCTTTGTGGAGCCTCAGCGCCTACCTGGACAACTGCATGGAAGAAGCTTAGCCCGTAGACCAGCGAGGTGTATGCAGGGTGGGTGCACTGCTCAAACGCGTCTTCCCGGAAGAGGGAATACGAACTCTGCATGTTTGCTCTTATGCCATCGGGCGGCTCTGTCACGACCTTCAGAGACGCCTGACAAGTTCACAACGCATGCACACAATACGTTTGTGAAAAGATAGTCTTTGGGCAGCAACGGTAAGAAATGCGCCAGAACGAAGCCCTACGTAGAAAGGCTTGATAAGACGGCGTACCTGCAGAATGCTAAGAGGGAAATCTTGCGTTGGCTGGGTTGTCAGCCAAAGTCGGAATCCCTTGTGAGGCTTTTTCATATCTGCACAACAGCATATCACTCCTGAAAGTCTCTTCTAGGCAGTAAAACAAGTTTGAATGAGAATTCTACAGAAGTCTTGTGTGCCTGTCTGCACTTGTCGGCCCTTCGTGCTACTAACCTTGCAGTAACTTAGCAAGCGTAGAAAGCCACCCCGGCAGAAGGTGGCAATTCTGTAGCATGATCCAAAGCCCTCGTTGGTATCCCGTCTCCACGAGTTGTCCTGCTTGATCGCCCATGCCTTGGCCTATGGATAGCGAGCGGAATTTGTTGCCTGCGAGTTTGTTGCATAGCAAGCAAAACAAGGGCGGAACAGTACAAATAACCCAAAGCGGCCTCGCAATTACTTGGTTTCTCACATAGGTTCGAGATTTTGGGGTTTATGCTCTGCTTGCCTTTGGCAACGCAACGTACCCGCCATGCCGATCGATTCCGCAAGAGCAGAAACAGCAGCATGAGGATTGGCCCCCGGTGACAAAATGAGCAGGATTGGGGAGAATTCGGAAGACTGCGCGTATATTTTTGAGTATCTGCAAGCAAAAACAACCTTGAAGGCTGACTCTTGTCGGGCGTACCATGCAGCGTAACTTGGATGTTTTCAAGCATCGTGCGAAGGAGAAAAGGGTTGTGAGGTGGCCTATTGGTGCTTACTGAAGTGTAGGCGATTGCACGTAGTGTTCATTCAGTCTCCACTGGATAAAATTTTTGATAGCGTTGTGAACCCGATCAACGCGGAAGATGCGAACAAGAATCAGCTTTTGAAAGGGAGACAACAAACGGTTCCACTTCCCAGGCATATCTGCTTTTTCTGCTGATTCATTATCTGCCCAGTTTTTCCATGCCTGTAAGCCTCAATGCACCAGAGAAAATTAGAAGAGATTTCAATGCTATCGACCATGAGAATGGGCTTATCAACTGTAACTAGTGGCCGCTAGCAGCGTTAATACAATTCGCTGACAAGCACGAGCTAGTCCTTTATAAGCCTTGAAGAGTGAACAGAATTGCTGTCCTACTGCATATTGGTAGCCCAGTGGCGAGGCAACAAAATGCTTTTTTTGAAAAGTAAAATCTTCCTTATTCACTCACCTGGTGTTCGGCCAAGACATTTTCCCGAAGTCCTTTGAATACCGGACTGACTTTGTCAAGCTTGGACAGATCATTCCAGCCACTGTCAGGTATCCAAGCAAGCTCCTCAGGCTTTGGCTCTTCCTCTGAAATAGTGTTGCTTCCCTTCAAAAAGAAGTCAAGCTCTTCTTCAGGCATCTTTCCATCGTGCCGCATGATCATTGTTGTCAGATGGAACGCGAAAATGAGCCTCTGGCTTTCAAACAAACCTGACCATACTCAAGTACAGCCGCTTGCCAGTGATACTCCAGCCTGGCTGCTACAAGACTCTAACACAGGAATTATAGTTGTGCCCAGTGGACTATGGTACAAAAAAGCTAATGCGTTTAATGTTCCTCATAGTCTGTCCTCCCCTTAAGCAACTGTTATCAGTTAATGCGGCATTTACCAAGGCTGATGTAGTCATAGGAAAGCTGCGTAACTTTGTCCATCAGGCTTTTTAGCCGATTTTCTAATATTCTATCTGGCCGAGCTTCCTTCAAAGCTACTTGGAAAGTATGTAAAAAGGCATCGAGAGAGTATTCAAGCATGGGTGACAAATTTCTCATCCCATCCATGCTGAAATACACGACGCTCCCTCGCTTGGCAACGCTGTAAAATTCCTGCCGTTTCTGCAGCAAGCGTAAAACATACACACCTTACTGATTCAGTATTGCTTTCTGGGTTTTGCTACAGCACTGGAGGAAGAAAGAAGAACTTGCCCGCCCCTTTATTATCGAGAGGCAGAGAATAAGTCAGGCATGCACACCTCTTCTATTTTGGCAGCGGTTGACTTCGCGTCTTCAAGGAATTGCTCAATCTCCAGAGCCTTTGTTTTCGTGCTTTGAAGAGTCTCGATCAGGTCCTCGTTATCTAAGGGGCTTCCTTTAGAGTGGGCGAGCTCGTGAAGAAGCGAGTTCTCGAGTTGCTGCAGATATACACGCAGGTTACCACGCCAGTTTATATTTGCGATTAGGTAATCCATGCGTATAGAAGGGGCGCCGAAGTTGAACTAGGGTTTGATATTTTTACCTTCAGCATCAGGCGGCCGTCGCTCATTCGCTGCACAAGTTCCTGACGCTGGCTTTCTAGCTCTGGTACTTCGTTCCCAACAACAGTGGCAAGCATCTGTTCGGCTAGACCGCTCATTGTCACCTGATATATATAACGGCGTAGTACGACTTGTTGAAACGATAGCCCCTAGTACAACAGAGATGAACCAGTGGTTATTGCGCTGTTAATATGACAACTAGCCCTCTTCTGCATAGCAGACCTGGTAGTTGATGACGTTCGTCTTGTTCATGATCTCCGGTCCAAACTTCGGATTTGAGAGTTTCGTCGTCATGTACAAACAAAAGTTGTCGTTCCAGTCAACCTGCTTTCCCACTAAGAAAAAAATTGCACGGGAGGAAAGTGTGTCCCTTCGCATCGCTAAAAAGCCAAGCTCAGAATTTGCTCAACTGTGGAACGAAACTGATTCTTGGGGCTGACATGTGCCCAGGAGAGCTTACTCAGTGTAACAATTTTTTGTCCGTTTTGAAGCACTAAGCTTCGCTCCAAGACAGAGTCAATGGACGGGTCGATTTCAGTCTCAACTGATTCGAACAAGAATGGCTTGCCGTACTGAATGGCTAGCTCAAGGTGCTTCATGTAGTCATCCGCAAACGTCTTTATCACGAGATCGCGTTCCTCCTCTCTCTGCTGTATCCACTTCACGGCCTGCCCACAGAGAGGGTGCAAAGCAATGGCTCATATCCTGGCACATCTGGGCTCCAGAAAACACATCTGGGCTTCATAAAACAAGGTTTGACCTGGTATATATTAAAACACTAACGGGATATTACCTGCATCTGAGGATCTATGCAGAGCGGCCAGCGGGCAGACATGGTTGTGAGGATGCCATTCTGAATGGACATCTCGTTAGACGGCAGCCCTTCCTTATTCCACTTAGCAATATCTGCTTCACTTGTGAGCAGGCCTTCGATCCTGAATGGGCAATTTATGGGAATGCCAGATTCTTTCACACTAGCGGCCCAATGGTCATACACCTGAGAAACAGCAAAAAATGTGTTAACGGAACGAGGGCCTAACAGACAAAAAGTTTCAAGTGTACAAGTACTGTTTCCAGTCATGCAAAATAGGCGGATGCTACTGTTTTATTGGAACAGTAGCTGCGCACTTCGAACCTCGACTGACCATTCGGTTTCTGAACTCGAGAGTGTACGGTCCTGCATACGACAGGAATGCTGCGCCAATCAAGCAGCTGCCAACCAACTTGATGCGGGTATCTCTGCAGGCCTCACGATCTTCTGTCCACCGACGTCTTTCCGATTCAAGCCCATCTATTAATTTGCAGGCTGCTGTAAGCCTTCTTTCCATCACCTTTGCCTCGGCTTCAACCTCACGCAAAATGTCCGTTTGTTCCTTCTGTTCTGACATCAAGGCAGAAAGCTGCTCTTCCAGCTGACGGAGCTCCTCCTGCAAGATGCGAAGCGTCAAGGCTGGCTAGCAGTTACGCAAATGCTGATGTGTATATCCTGGTACTAATCAATGTATGTATGCTGTTGGGAGAATTCTCAAAATCGAATGTAGCACGGGCAGCGTCTCATTGGGGTCAGCTCCTACCCTGATGCTGGCTAAGTTCGTCTCAGCCTCCTCCTGCTTTTGCTGTAATTCTGCAACGAGACGTCGTTTTGGCTCGACGCTCTTTGCCACTTCGTGGTACTGAATCATCGCCTTGACCCAAGTCAACAGCCCATTCCCTGCCTTCGAAATTTTCGCCATCTTCTCGCTCCTGAATGAATCTGGATCTTTGTTAAAATACTCCATCAGCTTTTTCACTTGTCTTTCTGAGGACGGCAACAGAAGTCAAGGGGAGTTCAGAAACGCTGTTTAAGCTTTTCAGCAAGAAACCCAATAAAAATTGATACAATAGTCGCGTGTGCAAGCTCTCCACTGACCCGATATATTGTCTTTGGGATATTCCATTAAACTCTTGAGAAAGTTGACATCATTAAGCATAGCCTTGGCGCCGTTCCAGCCATCGGCTTCATTTTCTTTTCCCAATGGTCGCAGAACAACGACACACATACAAACATTCATGACGGGCTTCGGGGGAGTCATGAAAGCTTTTATTTCGGAAATGTCTTTTTTGTCAAGATTTTCAAGCGCCCTTGCTGCTGCTTCTAACGCTGGAATTGCTGCAGCCAAAGCCTCATCAGCGCTTGCTTTTTCTTGGTTTATTGTAATTTGGTCCTGTGGAGAATCACAATCGCAACATTTGTAATGTTCTTGCTTAGAAGAGAAACAAACACTACTGCTGCGGACTGAACGCGTAGATGCGCTCTCTGTTGACTGCATTTCGCTTGCCTGAGATATCTGTCGTTCAGTGGCACGAGCCTCATCTTTCCTTTGATTAGCTTTGGTACTTTTCTCGTTTATGCAAGATATAAGCTCTTCTATGCTTCTTTTTTTCTCATCCACAATAACCTTCTTTTGTTCCACTTGAGCGTTCATTATCTTGACTGACTCGGCGACCTATGCCAAAATTCAAATACCGAAAAACTTATATGCTGCTCTATTTGGCGCAGAAACGCATACTTAAGCTCACGAAAGACGACCTAGTCAAACAGCAACTGAAGCAAATACAATAAGGCATACACTGCTCATCTTCTGCAATCCCCCTTCTAGCCGAGCACTCAGTTGGTCAGTGCTAGAACGCTTTGCCTTTAGCATGCCCTTGTAAGTCTTGAGAAAGTCGAGGTAGTTTTTAGGTGTGGAAAATGTTGCACGGTCAAATTTTCTTTCAAATTCCGGGGCATATGTTGTGGTCACACTGTCATGCACGCTGACGATATGCTGTTCTATGGATGCCCGGTTTTCTTGAGGTAAATCTTCATTTTCTAGAAGCACCGCTGCGACAGCAGCAAGTGCAGACACTGGCCAAGGCTGGAACCAGTCCACACTTGTGCAAGATACGAGCCCGGGAAAGCTGCGACAGCGGTTTCTTAATGCGTTTCCAGATGGTGACATAGCAAGGAGAAGGTGTACATTGTCCCTCGCTCGGTTGATGGCATAATTCCAAAGTGAGTCCTCGCGAACCCCGTTCTCCTTGGCAGACGCTCTTACTGCGGCAATGAGGGCATCTTTTTGGTCATCAGCGAAAAGAGCTGGTATTGTGCCGATAGTCAAAATGTTGTTTATATACTCTAAGAAGCATTCAAGCTTGATGTCTGCATCTGAAAATAGGAGGCATTGCCGCTCTGTCACTGCCATTGTTATCAGCTTGCGAAGGTCCTCCTTAAAATCAGCTTCCCCGTAAGACCTCATCGGCGAAAGAGAGAAATGATTGTAGCTGAAGCAAAAGTGTAGGCATACAAAACACAAACATATTTAAATGAATGAGGCTCATTAGCTGCAGAAAAAGCACCGGCCGAAAAACACTCGAGGCAGCTTTCCAACGACTGGCAGGGACACACGAATACTTGCCCAGAAATGAATATTGCGAGGGTGGCAACGCTTCGTTTGCCGGAGCCGCCAATTCCAATGAGCAGCCCGTGGCCTCTTTCCATTCTTATCATTCTGTGGACACGCGCTAGATGAGCCATGATATCCTCAAACATGACCAGGTGCATAGGCTTCCGATCAAAGTTGTGAAGCTCCAAGAGTCGCTCAAGCAGCGGCCGGATTTCTTCAAAAGAAGCATGATCGTCGTAAGTCCTATCCTAATGCAGCCATAGGACAACTCTAGAAAGAACGTCGGACTTATTTGGATGAAACACAAGTATGAGTCGTCTGCGACACTACAACTGCTGACGTGCGCGTACGGGGCTGTCGGCTTTTTCTTCAGCTTCAATGAGCTTTAGAGCGCTCTCAAATTCCGTCCACACAATAGGATCTCTCAGCGCATGCTCTGAGAAGTCCGGGAAAGTGTCTTCTATTATTTGTTTTAGCCTTATGTGCTGCAGATAGTGCTTTTCTTCTTCGTCAATCAGCTTGTCCTCGAAAACTCGGAGGCTTTCATGCCTAGAAAAGAAAGGCAAAAGCACCACCTTATGAATCTACCATTGTTTGTGTGCTTCGTCCGCTCTTGCTGGTGGTCCGGCTCTTCCCGTTTGTTGGCTCAAAAGGTGACCTTCTTACCGCCACAAGCGAACGATTGACTTCCCGTCAATCGATGTGCGTAAATTTGCATGCCATATCCCCTGATATATACGGGAGAGGTCGCGCATGTTAAATATGTAGTGAAACTTCTTTGGCGTGCGGGTCATCTTCTCCAACACGCCCTCATAGAGGCTCAGTGTGGCCTGGGGCAACTTTGCGAGAACGGGCTGCAGAGCAGAATTCCCACGAAAAGCGCCTTATTGTGAACTCCAATGCTCCCACTTAAAGCCAACATTCATGAGACGCATTTGCTACTCAAGTTTTAACTACTTGGCGCTTTTTAGAAGGCTTGCCTTGAGTGCTTGACAATCAGAGCCGAACTTTATATCCAGGATGGTAGATAATATTCGCTTTATCGATTCTTGGGATGGGGAATGGATGTTAAAGCAAAAGAATTGCGAAACAGCTCTTGGGTCGATCGAGTTCCTTCCGTTGCCTGGAGGGTTCATTGCCCCAAGGAAATGGACGTCTTTCAGGATTATCTTCTCAAGGTCTTTGCCCCGTTCGTAGAAAAACATCCTTTCCATTACGAACTTGAGCAGGGCAATAGGCTGCTGGGTCCCGTAAGTGTCCACCTGAGGGTCCACCAGCATTGAATGTTGTTAATTGGGAATCTGCCTCCAGGTTGTTAGTGAAAGTATGCAGCTCCCTGACTAGCTAAACGGTGGTGCAACGGCTGATACAAGCAAGCGCCATTTACCATTGGCATGTTGAGGTCATCCAAAAAGACCTTAAGCATCTTCCCAGAAGGAGGCCCATAGAGGCGCCCAATCCGTTTGTCAATATTATCTTCTAGGGCTTTCTGAAAGTCGAGGGAGGTAGTTCTGCTGCTGAAGTTCATTTGAAGCTGCAAGTATTTTTCACTATCAAGCGTGTTTAGCCAACTCTTTATCATCATAGACTTGGCGGTTCCTTCGGGTTTTCAAGCCACATCGCATCTGAAAACTGCTGTATTGAGACATTTTATCCTGCTCTAAATTCTGCTCTAAACTGTACGACTAAAAATGAGCAAGGTAGGACCGTTTGTATCGGACTACGGTTCAACTTGACGGAATCAGGTTCCCTCCAATTAGACGCTTTTGGACTGACCTGACTCTCCAATGAAAAGAGTAGGAAGCGCCTTCGACGAAAAGCCTTGTAGCAACCACATTGCCCGGACAGTGTCTGTAGTCGGTACGAAAACGCTGGTGAACGACACACCTGCTTCTGGAGAATACTGCGGGATCTGAGTACCCCGAAAGGAAAAACAAACGACAACGCACTTCGAGTAGACAGCGCGAAAGAAACGACAAGCTCTCTTACAGAAGGCACTCAGTATGTGGAGAAGGCTTTGTGAAAGCAACCCAATTTCTTCCGCGTGAAGTGCTGACCTTAGACTCCCATGAAAGCCACGCGTTTGTTGGCAGGTCATAGAAGCTATCAAAGAGACTTTGGCTTATAGATGCTTTTCCCGAGAGTGTCTTCAGGAAAACATCGAGACGTCGCTGCTCTTCACCTTTAAGGGTTGCTCCGAGGGACCAGACCAAGGAAAACAGAAACGCGTTTTCTAGCTTTTCTGCATTCGCCTCAGCGTAAACTTCATCTGGGACCATGATATCCATTAGTTTGCACAGCTGAGCAACCTGTAAATCACAGGCAGTTTGCGAAAAACCAGATTTACATAATAAACATTCAATAACTTAAGCAGTCACCCGCCTATGTGCCTCACGCCTATAATGTTGGCCCACTAATGACTCCCAGAAGACTAACCATGCTGACGTCTGTCCTTGATATGCATTTGGCAGGCACTGGCGCTTCATCTTCTCTTCCCTTTTCTTGCAAGATGAATGCTAAGCACTGACGGACATACTTCTCGTACAAGTAGTCCAAAACTTCAAGCAGTTGCTCATTTGACTTGCTTCTCGCCCAAGTATCGTAGTAAGGTCCACTGCCAAGGTCCCTCTGGTCCACGTATACCATTCCACAGCGCGAAACAGTGGCTGGAGAGGCATACTGCAAGTCCGAAACCTGAAACACGGTAGTAAGTGGTTGACCCCACAGACACAACGTATTATGAGTTAAAAGCTTTCTGTAGCCTCAAAACAAGACACCGGCCTTGGTATGATGGCTAACACGTGGTAAACACGCTCTCAACTTACCTCAAAGAGCAATGCACAATGCTTTTCCAGCCGAATGCGTTCACCGTTTGACAATGTCAAAAGCTTGTTGTCGTCCATCACAGAATTCATGCTCTCCACCCAAACTGCGTCCACGTCACCGTCAAAGAGAATATAGCGCTTTTCTTTTCTTCCAGGCGGTAGTGGCTGATTGGCATCGCGGAAAATCTTCGAGAGGAGGCCGTCCGTCCAATCACGCGAGACCGGATCTGCAGATTTCATGATATAGAGCGCTGCCTATAAATAGTTTGTGACGAATCAAGCTTTATGCCCTGACAACTGCACGTTTTGGTGCAATCTGGAGGTGTATCAGATCAATGGGTCGCAATTTTGTTTCGAGATGATGTTAGTTCCCACTTCATTACGATAAACCCTACCAAGCACTCCGTAGAGCTCATCAGTTCCTTGGGCCTTAGGATTTATAGGAAGAATCTTCACCACTTCATCAAATGCTGCTTTATGAGCAGCTGCAAGGGTTTCTATAATCACTGTTTTCCCTCCACCTGTTGTCCCAACAACCATTGTGGAATGCCTAGTTTCCATTGTCTCATGCAGTTGAACAACTTTATCTACTTGGTTCTCGAACTCTCGCCTAGAGCGACACTTAAATCCTTTGCTTTGAAGCTCCTGAGAAACAACTACCTCACAGCAAGTCTGCATGATACCTTCTGCCCCATGCACTTTTGCATACACTGTATACATATCCTACATGTTTAGACTGAGCCGAATGCTTGTGCTGACAGAAATTGCTCCAATATCCTCTGTGTCACAGGAATAGGCCAGAGTCTTCATTTGATAGCAGTGCTGTCTGTGTCGCACTCTCGTTCTGGGGTTTTTTGAAAGTTACACAGCTCCCACATTTGATGGCCTACCAGCTCAACGGCCTCTTTGAGGCTAGGCAGCATCGTTCGCTCGCAGGTGACACTTGGAAATAAATCACTCAGTAGCCCAAGAAACAGGGGAACATCTGGCTTTACAAGCTTGGGAATGTTCATGTCGCGGAGGGCTCGCATCAGCAGCAATTCATCTGGGGTGTCTGGAGTCAAGCGCTTCATCGATCCAGCGATGACGAGAACGGCCTTCAGTGCCCTCAGTTGAAAATCGTAAAAGTGCTGCAGGCACATTTTCGAAAACAAAATTATGCACAGCCCTATGCCGCAAGCTCTTCGGCGCAGAGAGGTCATATAGTAGGGCGAATTGTATCATCTCACCTGTTTTGACAACTGGGCTAGTGCCAGCCTGTACAGGACAGTCATCTTTCTAGCTAATATTCTCGCATTCTGAAAACCTTCAGAGATTAGCATTATTTCGCATATCATGGCCATGTCTGGTACGGTCATTGTTGCAGGGCGGAAAAGAGCCTTGAGGTTATCGGGAAGCTCCGACCTGCATTCGAAATGGCAGCCTTCCGCCTTCTATAAGCCATTGTTCTCACACGTGTTCACGTCTGCCTAATTGCATGCCATTGAAGCGAGTCAAGATCGATACAACGTCACAAGGAACCCACCGTCCTGCATATCCTGGGTTCATTGTCACGAAAATCCCGACTGTGGGCACAAACTTTAAGATCTTGCCCAGCAGTTCTACCGAACCTTTCCCGTTCTGCAAACTCGTTTGGATTGCTTTGATTTGAGCCGATACTACAGACAACACCTCTGGGTTAATACGGTTGAACTCATCAAAGCACCCCCAAAAACCTGCAGTCCAGAAAGAACAGAAAAGCCACAGCAGAGCTGAATTTCGTCGCATGTCGCATGCATTGTAGGCGACCGTGCATTTGGAGGTACGATGCTGCTTTTAACATAGCTTTTAACATACGTAGTGGCGTTCATACCAGTCTGAACAAGCCCTGAAAAAATAGTACCCATTGCTTTGTAGTCCAGGCCCTCCCCACAATTCTGGACGACGCAACGGGTTGCTAGAGATTTGGCCAAGTCCTTTACAGTTTCGGTTTTACCTGTACCAGCTGGACCAGCAGGAGCGCCTCCCAAACAAAACGTGAGAGCTGTTGTGAGGGTCATGATGCATCTGTCCGTGAGAGGTGTGATGACTAGGTGGCCATTGAGACCTTGATATTCATATCCATATCTGGGGCAGAAGCGAATAAGATTGCACTGAGCAGCCAAAATAACAGAGGAATCTTGGCTACGAGAGATGCTCAGAACAGCTCCAGAGAGACATTTGGCAAAGCTGTTACCTTACCTGAACTTCCCTGTGCACTGCCGTATTTCAATGTCGTCCATAGATATATCCCAGTAAAATCGCAACTGGCTTTCCCAGTCGAAGCTGTCAGCGCTATAAACGGCATTCTGGACGAAGCGCTCCACGAGATCACGAGCGTGCACGTCCAGAATGATGAGAGTATTCACTTTTTTCCTGGCCTTATACTCTAGTGGCTTCCTCACCACTTCGATCAAGGAGCTAACCTGATCACAGGCGTCCGCAGTGACGGCAAGCGCGCATAAATTTGCGCTTGTCGGCAAAATGGTGAAGGATTTTAGACCGAATCTAGCATGCAGCTTGAGCGAATGGTCAGCTAGAAGGGGTTTGATGGTTATCCATTTGTGTGCTTTGTCAGCTGTCTACTACCTGCTGGCGCTGAACGGCCGCCTCTTCTCGGAGAGCGTTTTTATCTCCCTTTCCCATCCTTTCAAATGCGTCTTCAACTCGCCAAGTCCACCAGATGCACGATCCTACACATGCGACCATGCCAAGCTGCTCGGTAACCCACTGGTTCCTGAAAGCAGCGCCTAATATGTTCAGTCTGCTATTCACCTCAATTGTGGAGCTTGCACATTTAGGGAGGAATTCACGGGCGAAAACATCATGCAGCCTGCATCAAAATGCGCCACTCGACCTCACCTGGGCTTACAACCGTACATAAATACTCCCTTTTTTGCTATTCCATGAAGTGACGTTTTCATGGCTTCGTCAACTGCTGTCATCCATTCTTCAGCGGGTCCTTCCGCCATTACGGCCTCATAGAAGGCATAACTTTCGCCTTCGTCTGATTCCATTCCTGATACCTGCAGGCATGCCACTATTCCACTTTCAAAACACAATAGCAGAAATAAGGTTGGTGCCCGAAGGGCTGGCTCGGCGTGAAACTAAGTTCCGTTGTGAAAAGAATTCTTCAGTCGCGTCACCTGGCCGGAACCGTTTATTTGAAGTCGCTTGCAGTTGTCAAACAGCTTCAGCATTAATGGCTGCACTGCCTCATGGCCGCTTGACCCCAGAACTGATAGCAATTCTTCGTCAGATATGAAGTAAAACCTGCACGACAATTCACCGGATTAGCTGTGATTGAGTAAAAACGTGGCTTTTACAGCTTCTCCTGGATGAATTGAAAATTCGCTCTCACCTTGGAAACATTATTCTCTTGGCATCCAGATAGTCCGATAAGGAGCGCTGGCAACTGTCAAGCTCTGCCGCTAAACGTTTCATTTCACCAAGTCGATTTTCGAGACAAAGCGCCGACAGAACGTTTGGATTTTCGCTTGTCTGTTTCATAATGGACAGAAAGCGCCTATTAATGGCATCAAATTTCTTCGCTTCTTCAGGTAATTGCAAACGAATATCGATGGACTCGGTAAAAATTCCGTCGAGATACATCCATTTACGTTGTACCTGCGACCAAAACGTTAACATTCTCAAGTACTTCAAGTTGGTGCATTTTGTGTGCTGTAAAACTGTACTTGACAGATTTGGGCCTTCTGCACGCTGAACTCCAAACGATGTGTCTAAGGTGGTGAGCGGGAGCATTTTTCCGTTGTTTCCAAATCAGGGTAGGTCTATTACTTGTAACCAAGCCTCGAAGACTTCACGAATTATAATGAGAGACTTCTCCCACTTTCGAATCTTCTCTATCACCGTCGAGGCAAATCTGGAGCTTAGCATCGATTGAAGCTGGAGCAGGTTGTCATCTAGCAGCATCCGTAAATCTTCGTTAGATTTCAGGACGTAGCGGTTGGCGTCATTCTTATACCTTGCGATCTCAATGGTTTGTTGTCTCCAGGAAGACTCAATTTTGGCGATATCTTTCTCCAGCTTCATTTCTTCCTGCAGAACTCACGAAATAAAACAGCCACATGACCGTGTTTTAAACAAAGCCAATGGAAGGAACTTCTCCAAATTTTCTAGAGGACTCTGGGACAAAGTAGAAGACATTCTAGAAGGTTCTCCAATTTAGGTAGTTTGGTCAGGTGGCAGATACGTTTGAGACACTTACAGCAGCAGCCTGGATAATTTCATTAACTGCATCTGGAAAGCGACCTAGCTGCAGGTCTAGAACATCCTGCAGCCGGAAATTTTTATTTTCGGCATCAAAATTTTGTCCCGCGGCGGCCATGAGCTCTTTCCAGTGCTGCGGCCGTATTGCCTCATTCTTCAGCCTTTCAATTAGTGGAAGCTCACTCTGAAAGTTTTGGATGAGATGCGTTACATTACTGTATGCCTGTGAAACACGTGGGTAGTCTGCGCACTATTCTCTTAACAGCCGTAAGAAGTGGTGCCGCTTTCCAGTACAGTCTTCATTTCCCCTCTATCCCCTATTCAGCTTACTGGGGAGCTTGTAACTTGAGGGCCCCCATTCTTCGCTAGGGCTTTTAGTCTTTTTTTGAACTCTTCAGCAGATTTTTGTAGCTCCTGAAAATTTTTCCCGTGCACTGAATGAAAGATTTAAAGCCTCAATTCCTGCCTGCATGCAGCTATTCTCCACCATTCAGCTACCATATTTTCACCTAGCTATTGAAAGTCTGCTTCATATGTGAGGTGCGGCTTTATCTGCATGCGCTATTGCGCACCTGGAAGTCAACTTTCGCCCAGAGCTGAGTTGCCCATTCTTGAACCATCGCATCATGATCGGCGTAGAGAGAAAATATCTGGTATTGCAGGTTGAGGTCAGCCTCAAGCTTATCTAAAATATTGAATTCAGTAACTGGAAGCGAAAACAAGTCTTCAGCATTATTAAGTTCAGCGGCCCGTTGTTTGAAGTCCTCAACTTCTTCCCTCAGCCCTCTTATTGCTTCCAGTCCCTGTTTTAAAGGGATGTCAACGGAGGAGGAGATGTCTTGGAATTTTTGCTGGAGCCTCTTGCACTCAGCAATGAAAGCAGCAACCTGAGTGCATGCTCATGGGTACACAGCTTTTGGAGTTGTATATGCTCGCGTTTTTACCCAGCTGCAAGGCAAATGTGGACACGCATGCAATCCTGCTTCCTACCTCTAACTTTTTTTCTCCGGCGAACTTTTCCTTTATGGAGGCGAGTTGTCGCGTTTTGCGGTGCGCCAAGTTCCTCAGTTCCTTCCATGCTTTGGGCAGAGCTACTAAGTCCTCCTTTTCCGCTTCAACTAGAGGGTATTCGTAGCTCTGGAGAGTGCTGTACATCTCTCTCATCTCCATCAGTCGTATTTCAGCATCAATGGCGCTATCATTAACAGTTGTCACTAATTCCATCAGCGCTTTGAACTTTTCCAGAGAATCGGTCTGCATTTCAAGATTTTCCCTGCACATATTTCGTATGGAGCACTGGTAGGCTAGTACCACAACAGCAACATCGCGCCACCGAGCCACCTGCTAACCCTTATTCTCGTTTGCCTGCCACCAGTTAATCCTTACCGTCGTTCGCTTATAAGCTTCTTCAGGTCTGCACTCTCCCTCCTCGCAATTTCATGAAGGGTGTCTGCATATGCCTTGCTTAGCACCAGTGCCTGCTCTCGCAGTCCATCAATGACTGTCGCAGAGTCAAGCTGAATGAAGCCAATAGTCTGCACTTTAGGCATTGAACCTAACTCTGCCGCAAGCTGCAGACAATAATTTACACATTTTGCATACTCAAGGCGAGTCTTGCTTTATTGGGTGGATTTCGCAGAATCCAACACGATGAAAGTTCCCTGCCGCCTACTCACCTTGTCATAAGCTCGAACATAAACGTCGAAATAGACCAAGTTGGGCCGCTTTATGATGAGTTGCTCCAGCTGAGTCTTGCGATCTGGGCTCCACAAAGCCCAATCAGCTTCATACTTACTCCAGTTTTTTACATATTTCGTAATATGCTGCAGCAGCAACGCAGTAAAGGCTATCAGCGAGCCTAATCAGTTTATTGCGACACTATAATGCGAACAAAAATACCATAAGTGTGGGTGGGTGAATTCGCTTACTTGGAACACTCTTTGAATGGCCTGGTGCGTAGCAACAGTTGTATTGATAAGAGCAGGTATTCGAGCTACTTCGTTGTAGAAGGTAAATTGAAGTGCCGTCGTCTCATCTCCCCCTGGGATCTGCTGAATGGGAACGCACCTGAAAGGAACACATACTTCATAAACAATCTTCTCATTAGTTTTAGGGGTGGCCATCTTACACGGTATCCAAGACGGTCGCAGAAGTGCCTACTTGCAAGTTCCATGCATCCATCTCGGGAAGTTCATTGATGACGAAATGATGTTTTGCATCAATCTGGATATGGTTTTGAAAATGGCATGAGTGCTTCCGTGAATAACAACCTCCTTTTCGTTTAATTCCGTAGTCACCCGAAGAACTGCTGGCCAGCGGCACATTGGGGATGATAAAGTAAAAAACGCTCGAAAGCGACTAGTTGCTGCAAGGAGACAAAAAGTGACAGACATATATTTTCGGCCAAACTTGAAAAACAAGGCACTATAATTTGCAGCTGCATCGCCCGCGTAAGCGCTGAAACAGCACTCGGCCGTAGAAGTTTGTTCATTGGTCCGTGTACTTGTTTGAAAGTTTGAGGCGCACCTCTTATCAGCATCGCTGCTATTGCATTAAAAATTCTTCTCTCCCAGTAATGATAATACGCTGCCATGGCTTCACTAGAGCCAGTGGCCCTGCCCTCTAGAAGTTCCTCAATTTTTTTTAAATATGAAGTAATCGACTCATATTTAGCTTGGAGGGCCTCAACTACACTGGCCCTGTGCTCCTCTATATATTCGTAGAAGTCCTGTCCGCAAGCAACATCTTCAGGAGATTCTATGGCGTAAGGCATAGTTCAAATGCTGCAGAATAATTGGAATATCTGCCTGAAGCATACCTGAATGGCAACGGGCTCGAATGTATCCCAGTTCAAGTCTCTAACCAGTTGCGCGTTCTCAATTTCCTTCACAATCTGCTCGATAACTTCCACATTTTTGAAAACTTGCTCGCACGTTGCTTTAAAGATAGTCAACGACTTCAGGCACGTGTTTACAAAGTCTTCCAGCCCCAGGCTAGTCCAGTTTAAGGTGGTAAGGCCGGGAAGAACAGCCCTGAGTAGCCATGAACAACTCCAAAAGTCCGCTAGACTGCGGACATCTTGTTGAGCCTAGATGCAGTTCGGAGTGCAACGCCTAGGGTATGTGGCTGCTCCATACTGAGTGGGCCTGTCCGCCTCATCTTATATCTAGGCACTTTCTGTTACCAGCTGCGATAAGTCAAAGAACTTAAGAGAATCGAATACTCTTGCTAGTGGAAGCTTGCCTATGAAGCTCAGCAATCTGTTTCGATAGCAAGTTTCTGTGGGCTGGAATGATACTTGAAAGCGTGGTATTCAACTTGTCCACAAGGCCTTCAAGTAGCACTTGATGTTGGCAAAACCTCTCCTGATTCGCTCACGAACAATTGGAGGAACTCGTGAAAGTCAAAAGAGCAGAACTTTCTTCCTGAGGCCGTCTGTGTTGTCCGAAAAGCTGTGACTAAAAACAGCTGCCCTCACCTTGTGCAGAGCGACGTTCAAAACAGCTGCGGGCGCTTCTTGCACTCCTAGTTGGTTTAGATGACGAACTTCTTGCATGACAACCCATACTTCAGGGCGAAAGTTCACTGCGTATTTGCCATTAGGCTGCCGCTGAAGAACGTACGACTTTAGACATTCCGTAGCAGTATTCACCGCATCGACCTGCCCAATGTTTTTCAGAAGCATACATAAGCAGAAGCGAGGTCCTGCGGAATAGCCCCTGCGATTGTCATATTGCTGAAGGGAGCTCCCGCGAAGAAACGATTAGGGCAGGCGCTAGGCTGCGAGGCTAACATAAACAAACGGCATCAGGAAAGCATATATGAACAGCTCACCTGCCACTGCTTCACGAGGGAATTTTGATATGCAGTGATCGATTTTCCAAAGGAGAGGTAATTGCCGAAGACATCCTCTGCCTGATCGAAGTCAAAGACTTCTGGCATCTGCTTGAAAGCCAAGACGCTGGCTTTGAGAGCTTGAAAAAGCCCGCTTGACCACAAAATTGCGCCGGCCACGGGAGGCATGTGGCTTGGTATGGAAGGTTTATCTTTTCCTTGTTCGAACAGGTCACGCATGCGGTCTACCTCAGTATCTGCGGGGCAAACCATTGTAGTTACACACTTTCCTCTGCTATGGGAAAAACCGCAACCCTTTGAGCCGTAGTTAGTGGGCGCATTAGATGCTTTGCTCCCTAAGGGATCACATACTGAAGTGCTTGAGAATGTCGACAAACTTCTCTCCGAGCTTCACGTTGATCCTTGGTCTGCTTGCCGTAGTGGTGAAGTCCTTCAGCATTTGAAAAGCACTCAGAGCAGAACGAAGCCTGGTAAACTTTGTATCTAGAAACATTATGCAGTCATCTTCCAGCTCCTCCGTACGTTTCCAAAATTGTTTCACAACGTTGAGAACATCTTCTGAGCTGTTCTCGCAAAAAACTTTATCGGCGACAGAATCGAATAGCCCGATAAGAGCCTGAAGTTTCGCAGGACCAACAATAAACGAGCACTGCTCAGTGTAATTCGCAGAATGGATTAACTTGGCTGTTTGGAGTGCGTACAACTTAAAGCTGCTATTGATCCTCAGCCAAACAGAATGCATGCACGCCACTGGAGACAGTGCATATGTAAATGCAGGGGCAAACCTGCATATTTCCGGCCAGTTTGTTTATCGCTCGGCGAGACCGGGTAACCGAGTGCAATTTAGGTCCTATAAAACGCTTGAATTGCCCAATCGTCTTAGCAATCTCTTCAAACTTGGAGCACATTGATGCCATGTAATCAGTTGTCCGGAAAAGCTTGCGCCGGTCAAACTCCCACCTAAAAGCAAATGTCTTCAACGTATCCTCAAAAGCAGCTAAACCAAGCTGAAGGAGCTAACTCTACGAATACGAATTTGAATTTCTGGATCGTAGATGCAGCAACTCAATTTCCACGCACGCACGTTGTCGATCCAATAATATAGCTTCGTACGCCTGTGAACAACTGACCGTCGGTCGCATTCAGACTCTTCGAGGCGAGAGCGCATGCTGAAGTACTCAGCTTTCCACGTTTCCAGCAAGACACGCGAATGCCGTAGTACTGTGGTGGCTTCATCCACTTCTTTTCTCAGAAGCTGTTCCACGCGAGCCTCTTGCCGAACACGGATCTCAAGCTAATGGAGGACGCAGGCGGCAAGAAGAAAGTTCATCGTTTTGTCATCGTTTAAACCTTTTCGCAGTCTTTCAGGCTGACCACTTTTGCAAGTATAAACTTGCTAACTGTTCTACACGCACCTGGTACGCGATTTTTTCCATCAGACCCTGCATCTGTTCATCACTGGTGAAGTGCCGAGATGTTATCCACACCATTCGCAAAGCATCCATGAGCGAGGCAATGGTGTCAGCCATGGGGCCCAGCGGTTTTGATTCAAGAGTAGTAAAATATCTGATAAAGCAGAAGCATCAAATAAGAATGCGCTGAAGCGCGACACTGATAAAACATGGGCTTTGTAGTTTGCTTTTTGCTGAAACATATCTCGTAAGATTGATCAAACCAGCGGGCAGACAGTGCTGCGGGAAATTCAGGGGCAGACCTCTCAAGAGTCGACAAAAAGCGAAGGTTGTTCGTGGATTCCACATGCAGAAGCTGAAGGTCGTTCATGGATTTCTTGAAAGACATGAGAACTTCAGAATCTGGCCTTTTTTCTTCATAAGTTTGTATTGCCTCTTGGCATTGTGGTGCGAGGAGCTGTTCGTAGAGCAACGAGACCGCAGTATGTCTGACGAATGCAAGTGGAAAACACAGTAAAGATTAATGCGTATGTTTGTGAACAATCAAAGAAGATGTAGTAATGCAAATGCATGGAGAAGAAGGTCAGTAAGATGAGACGATGAGTACGTAGCAGGCTACACTGAGGAACACAGCAGCGGCTCTTGACAAATGTGATCCAGGGGTTAAGTACCGATCTCTCCAAAAATTGACCTCAGATATCGGCAGCAGAGAATCCGGCTTTCGATTTCTCTCAGAATCCAACAGGCGCCAAATCAGCTGCAGAAGGCGAGGAAGACGAAGCTCTTTCATTTTCTTAGTTATTATCGGGCTACATTGTTTGATTTGTCCCTTTTTTGAACCATTAAAAGTTAAAGGCAAATTAAACTGAGCGTACCGTTTGCCACTGTGATATTGCCGCTTCCAACGTAGACTCATCGGCTAGACCTTCATGGCCGCCTTGGGTGGCAGCGTCGACAGTGGGCATTGGAAGCGGAGTTGCTATTCTGCTTGAAGCCATCTTTATGTGCGTTAGCAGCTCCTGAGTTGCGGTGAGTGCCTCACTCTTGCACTCTGGATCTAACACGGGGCCACTATCATCTGAAGCAGTGTCATTGGTTACATCTTCAGCTGCACTGTAAGCTCCTGCAGGTGGTTCAGAATGGTTTTCTTGAGCAGCAACTGTCGTTGCTTCGGCTGCTGATGTTGATTCCCGTCTGCTGGATGACTGAGAGGATAGAAAATCTTCTATGTCGTCACTGTCTTCACTGTCAGCCTGCCAATGCACGGCATTTCAGTTGCACGGATATTGTGATGGTGGCACGCGGAGGATAAATGTGAAGCCACCCCTAATTGTATTGCTAGGTGCTTCTTGAGATCGATCACCGATGTACCGAATCATTCTCTTCCACGTGTGAGTAAGTCGAAGCCGCAGAATTTTCTCGAACTGCAACTTTTAAAAGTTGCGCAGCTGGCGGCTTTCCGTCACCTGCAACTTCCTCAGGGCTTTTCTCCGCTCTGTCGTGATTGTGCTGCTCAGGCCGGTCGGAGAGAAGAGGAACCAAGAAGCCCTCTAAAATGAGGGCGAGGTCGTTGAGAATGTGAGGGCTAATGAGGCCAACAAGGACGTAGCGATTCATGGAATCTATGCCCTGTATCTCAGCCAACAACTCACTCAAATTTAGCTTTCATGAGATATGCTTTGGAGGCCCAGTAGCAGTAATGTATGTTCGTTTACCCAACTTCTACAAATTGAACTTTCCAACCTTCAAGTAGATATCATATTTACCTTGCCAGTTAAATTAATTGGTCCCGAGCAGAGTCTCAGCGCGTACGCTTGGACATTTGAGCCGCTTGAGAACTGCATAGGGCTATTTTGCATCTCCAGCAGAGGAGCCTGCGCAAAATAGCATCAATACTCACTTTGATACAGCCCGAAAAGGAACACTTGAAATAAGTGGATACCAATTTTTCCTTCTAAGCTTTCCAAAGGCCTGTAGTCAGATCCGGACTTCCATTCTGTATTGGTTTTTAAGATGCTTGCATGGCTAACAAATAAATCAACAGCGTCTAGTGCGGCTCCTTCCATGGGCCAAAAGTGCTTCTAGAGAAGCATTTGCTTACTTCCGAATTTTCAGACTCTGTATAGGAAAAGAATATTGCTGTTCCTGTGTTCCCTGCATCTAGGAAATGAGCCAACAGTTTGTCTGCCTTCTGACCATCCTGAGAGCACGAAGTAGTATGTTGTCTCCAGAGCCTCCCCTAACGCTTTATTGCTGGTATGTAGAGGACTGTTTCCTTACTAGAACCATTTCAAACTGCTACAATGTCGCGTTGCTTGCGAAGTACACAGCATGCTCGAAGCAATGACACCACCACACTTGAAGCCCCACCTTTAACGAACCGCGGGACCTAAAAAGAACTACGCAAGTCTTCCCATATCTTCACAGTACAAGGACTGCATGACTAGAGTTTCCGGCACCACATATGAAAGCGTAGAAATTATATAAATGTATGGAGTCAGACTGTGTCTCGTGTTTGCTGCCAGGGAAAGCAGCTGCAGTGAACGCGCGACGTAGACACTCCAGGCTCACTCTGGCCATAAGGGTATTCCACAAGCTGAAGTCCTCTAGTTTCAAGGCCCCCATCACCTTCTTTTTCACCCACGCTTTGCGTGCGTCGAATGCCATTTTCAGTCGTGGGCTTCCGCCGGTTCAGTACTTCTCCACTGAAAATTCTCCCCACCTAAGTACTCAAAATGAGCTCCAATAGTTTATAGGGCTCAAAGGAACTGTGAATATTCTGCATATCAATCCCTACACCTCATTCGTCCTGCGTAAGTGCTCCTAATGAACAAAAGGCGCAGTCCGAGCAGGACAGAACTGCTCCTCGCGAAAGCGTTGACGTAATCCTCCCCGGATTGACTAAATCACTCCGTGAAAAACTGAGAGTAAGGTTTGATAGAGAGCTTTGGCAGATTCTTCACCTGAGAGCAGGATTTCACTCAACGGTGTGCAAGTGTGCAGCGCGCGTTACATCGCCGTCTTTGGAGACGGCGCCAATCTCCATCAGAGTGATGGGCCCTATAACCATTAGGACTGTACTTCGTTACAGCTCATCTTTGTTCTGGGGCTCCATTTGTACCAGTAGTTCTTCGCACCAGCCAGCTAATGCATCTGACTTGGTCACTTTAGCATCGAAAAAGACTGGCAAGGTGCATTGAAGAGCACTACGTGTTTGACTTCCATGCCAGAAAGCATCAACCACGCTGTTAACGCCCAATTATTCAAGAAAAATTGGGGTTATGATGTACAGACGTGTTGGACACCCTCATGAGACAATAGTACCATCCACTCAAAGAGTCGCTGCCGGTGCCCTCTCCTGCTACGGTGCTCCGATAATCTTCAGCTAGTATACAAACGCGTAATAATATTAAAAATAAGCGAGAAACTGACATGTGGTGGAAATACTGGTCCCTCAATGACTGATTTTATTCCTAATGCGCATGCGTCGCGATTCTTGACCCGACTGGCAGCGGGAGAGCGACACTAGGACTAGCTTCAGTGTTGGCATCCTGCTGTAGAGGCTGAATGAGTTCCTCCTTATTTACTGTGATGGGAACTTAGCTTTTACAGCCTTGGTAACACTGACAGTTAATCAGTGCTGCACGTGCGCGAGGAGGCTGCAGCCTGATAGACCAGACCGTGGGCCATAGGGCGGTAGGTCTTGGGGAGAAAACAATACTCTCGTTCTTCCAACCTGAGAGTCTTTCTTAAGGTTATTACGGCACTAGTTGAGCCTTATCTCAATCTGAAGGCAGCGCTGGTAGCTGGGCTTCTTCTGTATTGTTGGAGCATCATGATTGTGTTATGCTTAATCCTTCTAGATTTACCAGCAGTTCGCCATCAGTAGCCCCGGAAGGTGACTCGATGAATGGACCCGCCGCTGAATCCTCAGTAACCAGGAGTGCTCTTCCAGCGATGATGCGGGGACCTCCGTCTTCTCGCCCCGTGTCTGGCGAGTTTAGCAGCATGTGGAGGGGGTTCGACACAAGAGAAGTGCTGCGCTTGATCTTGCAGACCCTTGACGAAATGGGATACAGGTCGGCATGTAAAACATGAAAGATATGACCACAAATATAAGCTCGCATGTTAGTGTAGCAGCCAAACGTTGTCTCTTCACCTCTCTCCACGCGACTTTGTGAATTGGTTGGTTTACAGCTGCGGCACTGCTGTGTCAGGGACATTGTGGCATCTCTTGAAAAGGCAAGTGGAGTCGAGCTGCTGCAGCCTGACATGCGCATGCTGCGCCGAAGTATCCTGGAGGGGAACTGGATAGAAGCGGGGAGAGCTCTGCTGCGTTTGCCGCTTGAACCCCCGACAAGACAGGGTTGCTGGTTTTTGCTAATGCAACACAAGTTTTTGGAGATGGTGGTGGACCCTTGCAGCACTTTAGATGCAAGACTTAAGTGCCTGAGAAGTAAGGTAGAGATAGCTGTGTCATTGACCTGCTGCAGGTCCCTCCCAGCTGTTGATGCTGAGCTTGCCATGAATGATACATCAGCCCCACTTGTGATGACACTCTGCGCAGAGGATCTTAGTGCTTCGGCGTTCGACGCTGCAACGGTAGAAAGAGTCCACGAGTGTTCGGCGCTTTTGATGTATCAAGGCAGCGACCTACTGGCTCACGTGCTGCAGATATCGAGTTTGAGCAGGCACCAACTGTTTAGCCGCATCACATGCTTGCTGCCAGCGTCGGTAGCAATGCAGCCGTCCATGCTGGCGACGATTCTCGATCATGCTCGTCGCTTCCAAATCCTTACTTGCCCGTTGCATGTTGAGTCTTCGAGCTTCGCGCCGAAGAGCATTATTGAGCCCCATCGCTGCAAAATACCTCTCCTTCCGCAGTACTGCGTGGGCTGCCTTCACGCACATCGCAAGGAAGTCTGGACAATTGCAGTTTCGCCAAAGCACACGAACTCGACAGAAGCTCTCGTAGCGTCGGGATCTGCAGACCGATCGGTCTGCGTGTGGCTACTGACCACAGAAACCTCAACGGGGACAAAAATTTCTCCCGGCGAACAAAGCTCGGGAGAGCGCGAGTCAACAAGTCAGCTTGGGGCGAAGTGGCTGGCAAGCTGGTTGGAGGGCGATACGGACCTGCTGATGCGCCTCGAGCAGACCCAAGCCCGCCCGATACTAGAAAGCGGCAACATCATTGGCACGTGCAGGTTGCTTTGGCGTGTCCAGCGCCTGGCCAGTGCTACTGCGTTTTTGGACTGGGATAGCACTGGGAAGCTGCTAGCAGCTGGTGGTGAAGCTGCATTTATTGAGGCTTGGGAAGAAGGCCGACGCATTGGCGATTACTGCCCACACGGCGGCTCGATTGTTGCTCTCCAATGGGTGCCAGGCTCAAGAAGATTGATATCGATGGCAACTGACAGAACCATGACGCTCGTCTCACTTGAGGAGTCCAGCTTGACACCCACGCACGTTGTGGAATATGAATGGATTTTGCCGGGCAGGCCGCAGGAGGGATTTTTACTTCCTCGGGGAAACAGCGTAATGATTTTCTTTGCAGACCGCCAGATTAAGTTATTCGACTTGGTCACGAAAGAAGAGACTTTTTGGTAAGTAAGACTCCACTAGGGCAGCTAGAGTTCTCTTTAGAAGTCTCTTGACACATTCGTAAAGCCTGCTCTTGTCACGTTGCCCAGACGAGACATGAGGACAAGCTGCTCGTCTCTGTAAGGTGAGCATGTCCCGGGTTACAGAAGAGGAAAGGTAGGACGCTGCTAACTACCCACTACTGTGGTAACTGCAGGGCTAGTGAGAAGGACCTAGTCATTGCAGCGTGCCCGTCGAAGATCTGCAATCAAATACTGATAAGCGCAGCAACTACGCCACCGGTGAGGTTTGCAGCCACTTCTCCGGATTGACGAACGCCACGCAATGAAACAAACGTTCATCAAACTTCGAAATGGCCCAACTTGCTGAATGCAAGGGGACACGTTGTCGTGGAACGCCATGGGAGTTTGTGCGGCTAAAAAGGGTCCGCTTGCCATTCACTGTTGCGCTCTTAAAGGCGTTTGTCTTTTTATTGTCCCTTAGGTACTACGACTTTGGGACCTGGACGAACGCAAGATTGTACAGAAATACAAGGGCCACAAAGTGGGGAGGCTAGCGATCCGTCCAGCATTTGGTGGTCCACGCGAAGAACTGGTGATATCGGGCTCAGAAGGTAGCCTTCCACTAACTCTGAGAGCTCCTTTTGGATCCACCACACGAGTTTCTGAAGCTCTTATCTAGCCATGCACAAGTTTATCAGTGAAAAGTAAGAGCTTGGCCTTTGCCTGAGCAGTAGGGTTGCAGCTCTAAAACCTCCATGCCATGTGTTTGCGCTTCGGTGTGCATCAGATGCACAGATATACATCTGGCACCGTGTGTGGGGGTGCATGCTGCAACAACTAAGGGGGCACGCCGCAGCTGTCAACCAAGTTGCCTGGGTCAACTTTTGTAACCCCGTTTGTCTTCTTTCTGCTGGGGACGACGGCGTTCTTTTGTTATGGAGCTTGCCGACAACCTCCAGTATGTCTGTTTTCAGCCAGCAGAAACGATTGCGCGTACCAGCATATTTAGAGACGTTGTAAATGAGCTTAATATTCTAATTTTTTGCTTTGTCTGCGTTTTTTGCGCTTTAAGCAGACGAAGAGCGTGTGGAGCCTTCGTCCAGCCCGGAAACGGCAACTTTGTCACCGCCTGATCAAAATACACCCGACGCGAGCAGCGACCAGTGAGGTACACGCTGGAGTCGACTGTTATTTTCCGTGAAGCGCCGCAGAGTTTCTGCGCAGTTGGCTGGCACGTACAGGAGGCTTTGAACGACTCCCCCTGAAGTGAGGTGAAAAATTGTGCCAATTGGAGGGGAGAAGTGAGAGCCTTGGAAAGGGCAGCTGAGACTTTCGCCGTTTAGCGCTATTTTGTTCGACGTCTCCATACGCAGTTGTTACAAGCTGTTGTAGAGGTTGTGCCGCTCTACTGACTTGGTTACCATTGTCTGTGTCTTTAAATTCATGGCTGGCAGCACAGCGCCTAGCGCCTGTGTAGTGTACCTTAGAATTGCGTACCGTAGTCGAGGAGATGCAGTGATGTACGTCGACGTGGACCGTGCTAACACGACTGCTGACCAGCGTATGGGACGCAAATGTAAACGGATCACGAACGTTGTGGAACAACAGCGAATTTAGGTGGACAGAAAACTATAAGATCCTCCACTGGCTTAGTTAGACTCCCCAAGAGTTCTCTGCACGTATGCTCTGACCCGCGCACCTTCCATTGGCAGGAGGTAAGGTTGTTCTTTGGCTTGTCAACCGCTTTCTCTTCGTTATTGCAACGAGTTTCACATGCTGTAGCGGGGCAGGACTCGGGTAATGAAACACTCAGCAGGACTGGACAGGATATCCTACGTCGAAGCACGCTAGCCATCATGAACCCTTGGCCGCGTATTTTCAGTGTCCGACAAAACCTGACAGGTGCTGCCAGAGTGACGCTTTAGGCTACTGGAAACAATGGGCCAGAAGTGCAGCCTTGTTTTCTTCCTAGTCCTGTATAGCTGTGAGCTGGTGGAGTACTAGCTAAGCTTGGAGTAGACGCGGCGTGTACTTGTACCATTAATTTTCAAAATTACCGAGGATTTTTTCGAATACTGAATGCTAAGCGCGGATCAAGAAGCGGATGTAACGTGGTAGGACTGTGTCTATTATGAAATTGTTCACCAGTAGCCCGCCCCACACGGTCACAGTGAAGCGCAATCTTCAAACAGAAAACGAGAGAAGATGGAGCGGCGGCCGCGTGGCTCTAAAAGTCTGGCGGACCGTGGAGGTTGGCTCTATCTGGCTACCGTTGTGCTACAGCTCCGTGAAGGCTAAGCTAAAATGGCAGCTTGGCCCGCCGTCTTGCGGCCGCAAGAGCTCGTTCCACGGGCACAACTTGCTGCTCCCCGCGAGACCTGCATAGAACGATGAAGCGGTCTACCTCTGGTCACTTGATTGCGGAGCACGGAAATCCACTCCTACTGAACGAACAAGAACTGCGGTTACATGCACGAAAGAAACAAGCAACTGGGAGTGTTTGAGTCTGAAAAAAGAAAATCATCACCACTTACCTACGCACGGTGACCGTGTTCCTCTCCTGGTCTGTCGTCCCCATAAGCCAAATTTCAGGGACCCGGTACTTTAAGTACAGCCTGAATCATCGCACCAGCCGGTGACCATTGGTAACTACTGAAAGCAATGTAAGCAGCTCAAAAAAGTTTAAAAGCCAAGTCGGGGAAGTTGAGGTGCCGCGAATATAGTCTTCTCCTTGCGAAGCCACCAGATCTCACGTGTTTCCCTTGGGAACCTTAAATGCAGGCAAGGCTTTTATGTGCCGTGCTGGCACATAAGAGCGTCGCCTGCGTTTACGTTGCCCTAGGGCTCATAAAACTATGTGAGCCACGATAGCCTTTTCATTAAGATGTGGTATGCCCCGTGCACAAAGAGCCTAAAGGAGGGCATCGGATTTGTTGTTGGCATTGTGCTCACTTCAATTTTCTGGAGATATGGATAGGTCGCGTATCAATTGAGACCCGAACATTCGACCGCCTAAGGCGCCTACCTAAGGCATCAGCGTTGCTCGCCTGACCCTCTCCAACACTGAGTATAGCCACCTGCTCACAGAACTCTCAGCGTTTATTACCAAGACAACCTCCAGTCGCTGTGGCAGCAGCCGACGATGCAGCTATCCCTTCAAGTGCCCTACCTGCGTCGGCGCTAGCCAGGGCTTTAAGTGGCCATCTGAGTTCTCAAGGACGAGACAAAGGAAACGCTCGAGAGATCCACACATTGCACGGTGGAGCAGGCACAGTCGGTCCTCAGTGGATGGAACTGGCTCGAGAGCGAAAGCCTTGGGCGAAAACATGTCGACCTGAAGGAATCAAGAGCATACCAACCGCAAACGTGATCATGAATATTCGCCTGGGCAGGTGGCTGGAAGTCTAGAAAGACTGTTAATAGGCGAGGACTTTGTACACACGCTGACTACATGCTGAATAGACGTAGAAATGCTCAGGGCTGCATGTAGCATAAAATGTCTGACCGTCTCGGCTGGCAACTTCCAACTTCCTCAGTATTTGCGGTGTTTATTGTATCTTGAGTGAAATACCTGCAACGTTCCTATTTGCCAGAGTCGTCTCTCCACGTTCGGAACGTGAATATCAATCTTTGGACCATAAAAGGCACCCTCACCCGCGGCCACCTTGTAGGGGATATTCAGCTCTTCCAGCGCGGTGCGCAAAAGTCCCTGCCGTGCAACAACAGGAGATAATTTGCCCATAAATTCAGCTCGAAGACTTCGCATGCCATCAGCTCTTTATGCAGAGCAGTCAATATTCGGGCTAGGTACTGCAAGACAGCGCGTTGCATCGTCGCAGCGCATAGGTGAGCGTAAAACAATTTATAGTACTTACTTCCGCATGAGCCCACTCTTGCTCTGAGCCCTGGCTGCTGTTAGGCCTGTGAGATTCAAAAACGAGCCGCAGCCTCACAACGAAACGCGCAAAAAGTCCCAGGCCTCCTGAAACACCCGATTGTGCCAATGATGTAATCGGGGCACGGAGAGTTTCGGGATGATGGGCTTTTGGCTGCGGCGACACGGAAATATTAATTTACCTCGTTGAAATGTGAAAGCTTATGTCTTTTTTCCGGAAGCCGACCGCCTTGTAAAGTTTTTGACAGCCCGAAAGAAACGTTTTCACTTCAGTCACAGCTTGAGACAGGCGACATAAAATGTGCCCGTCATCCTGCGAACATACGCGAATCGGTGTCCTTTCCTTCCACGCTGTGGCGCTAAAATTATCGGTGCACATTGCCGCCGCATCGTGGCCTTTAAGAAAAGATTTCTATCGTCACAGAGTGCATTTCATTTGTGAATCCTAGTCTATTGATGACACGCTCATGATTTGCCGGCACCTGGGTGAATTCTCGCAGACGCATGAGGCCTGAGAGGGCGCTGGGCACCTCCCGCCGGTACACATGCCCAAATTCACTTATCCGCAGCGGCGCATCAGACCCTGAACGGACCTGCGATACACACAATGCAGCGCAGCATGCCCTTGCCTCTTTCGAAGCTGGCGAAGATGCGAAGATCGGACAGTTGAATACTTTGGTGGCGCTGAAAAGCAAATCCGCTTTTGGACAGAACCCTTCAAGACACAAGGTCAGTTCCTATGTGACAAGAATCAGGAATTACGGTGTCGTTGATCTGCAGCTCTGATATAGGCGGAGAACGCACAGAACGTTCGAAGAAAAGAGAAAGATGAAGAGGGCAGCTCATCGGCTTCAGTAAATATGAAGTGCCGTCATCCCCACTGGTATCAGTCAGCAAGCCATGCTGCTCAGGCTTTTCTTGTTGCTCCTCTGACTCTACTGCCTCTCCAGATGTGTCAGTCTTCTGCGCTGCCTTGGGATCAGCAATTTCAAACATGCTGTCTGCGAAGTGCTCCATGTGGCCGCTGCGGCGCCACAAATAAGCCTGCGCCAGCGACCCTGTGCGGACCTGAAAAGCCCAAAAATTTACTCAAGTAATGCACTTCATACCACTGCAGAAGGGAAGCGCCTTCTTTGAAGCCTCGATACTCATTTGGCTTCGGTGAAAAAACGCAAGAACCCCGACAGTTGAACAAGGGAGATGCAGCGGCCTAGCTCTCATTCTACCTGCATGCCCCTCACCTCTTCAAATCCTTGTTGCTCTTGCAGTTTACGTAGAGCTTGCTGCAACTGCAGCATACAGCACTGCCCTCTTGGCAGCAAAGCCGGCCCGACACCCCCCATAGACGCGAGCTTTGGCTTCGGAAAGCAGAACAGATCCATCATTGTGCCTAGCGTTCTGTGGTCTCTGCGGCCTTGTGGCTGCCTTTCATTTTCATTCGTCTCGGAAGCAGGCTCCTCAGCAGATGTGAATGTGAGAGCCTGACCCGTATGCGAACGGTGCACAGTAGAGTGATGCAGTGAAAAAGAGGGAACTTGAAACCCTGGACTGCTGTGCTGCTGCGTTTTTTGCCTTGGGATCCACGCATGGCGCCCTACATTCAGAGGGAGCTCTGGGCTGTTTGAGTGGATTGTGGGCACTTTGTATGCATGTGCTCTGCTGTATACGCAGCAACAGAAGAGTACAAAAAGCCACCACGGAGGTGCTGCTGCTTTGGCCATTGTTTCACGCCTAGTTCTCTCAGCCAGGATGCTGGTGTAGACGGCTCTTTCCGAAAGAGGAGCAAGACAAGGCGGATCTCACTGGCATGTTGAGCCCATGCCCCTGATATCGGCAGTTGCTGGGTCCACTGCACAGGGCTCATCACAGGCAGATGAATGGCAACCTGGGAGCATGTTGTGCATTGTCGAAAAGAAGCCCAAGATGCTAAACGTCTGCACGTGCGCGCAGGAGAAGGGAGTCGGCCGAGACAGCGAAGCTGGCGAACGGAGATCACGTACAAGATGTCAAAGACTATCGACAATCTCGGAGGCGTATGTAGTCACGCAGCCTTAAAGATTGAACTAATAAATCCAGGGTTCGAGTAAATGAAGACCGTGGAGCCTCAAATAAAGAGTTCTGTGAGACTTCCCTTATTCAAAGGTGTTGTGCTAGTGGCAGTTGGGCCCTCGTGTGAAAACATGGGCAATAGCCTCCGACAAGCAAAGTCCCTGGAGCCGCTTGTTTTTAACTTAATAGATATAACTTAATTACCATGAAATTTTAAATATCTTGTTAGCCCCTTCGCCCTAAGATAAGGACGGGTATCGCAGCCATTGACCCATCCTATCCTTCGGCTCAGCCCCATGGTAATCCATCGAGGGAGGTGAAGGATTGCTGTTTGTGGAGCAATTATTGGACAAAACAGTCGATCTATAAGGCGCTCATGACTCATGCCAATTCTGAGCTTGTAAACAGACCCTCACGGACACTTGCTGCGCGAACGCTCGCGCACTAATCGATTGTTGACGGAAGACTTCTCAACCATTAGCGAGCCTCACTAATGTTGGAGCGTGTAAACTTTATGAGGTCCTTATCGTAAATCCTAGTGGTATTGTCCATAATGAAAGCAGGGCAGACCTTGTGGCCGACTTCGCTGGAGTTGCTACCTAGCGGCATTCACCTCACAGGGGTCCCACAGATCGCTATTGAGGCATAGACAGAAACCGCCTCTGCTTAAGCTCAGCTTCACTCTGGATCATGGAGTCAAACTTGAGCTGCAGTTAATGGCCTGGCCCCCAAAAGTCCCAGCCAGGCTGTGATGGACTGATTGGATTGGAAGGTAGTTAGCTGGAGGATGACGCATGCTGCAACCTGATGTTTCGCCGGGTCCTAACAAGGAAGAAACAGGTGCGGATGATTTCGCATCAACAAGCTGCATACCTGTGGGCGAACCCTGGGGTGGAGTTAAGAGGCCTTCCCATGCACAGGCTGATGGCAGCTGCGGCAGCAAAACGGCTTCCAGCTAAACGTCGTAGTCATGCGCTGCTACTGTGCGCACTACTGCTGTGGCTTTCTTCACTGCTGGAAATTCCCCAACGCCAGCCACCTGTTCTTTTCGCCCTCGCTGCGACCACCGACAGCAAACATGAACCAAGTCGTCCGCTATCGCCCCTGCCGTCTGCAAGGGCAGGAGTAAATTCCCCTACATCGTCTCGAGACAACTCTTCGCGCATAAGAAAGGCTGGAAACTCAACTAGCTATGCAGCACGCAATCCGGAGACGACTGAACTATTCTCTGATGCTGCCGATAGGAGCCGCAGCCCGAACGCACCAAAGAGCCGGCAGCTCTTCGGCGTTTCCCATGGACGAGAAGGCTCCACTTATCGCTCTGAACAACAGAAGCTACTGGAAGGCAGCACGGTGCCTCCCCAGTTGGCTGCAGACAGTTCTGCTTCAATACGGCGCCCGTCAGTCTAAAGGCTCTGGTTTACGGAGAAGATGTTCGCAAATGCGCTCATTGTTTCTGACATCATATCGACATGCATTTTGCAATGATTTCTGTAGCGGATTGTGGAGTTTACATATTAGTTTATGTTCGTCTAGCGCAGTGGTGGCTATCTACTTCCTGCCAAAGGCATTTTTTGTCGTGGTCGATGGCGCACCACCAATCGCGGCATTTGTTTTGTGGCCTCTTGGATTTAGACATTGGGCTGATATTAATCAGAATGCATATGTTCTCCACTTGTGGCGCTGGGCGAATACCGCGATTGGCCATTGGCTTGCTTTGGCGTACGTGATGACGTGAGTCCTTTGCGCAGGTTTGATCTGCTGCGGAGAGCTGCAGCGCTCTTTGGTGACTCTCCCTGGATACTGACCGGAGACGTGGATGAGATCAATGGATATCCCGTCATCACATATCAACAAGTAAGTTAATTGGTTACTCTTTGTGCAGGTCTCGGTGCTGCGACAGCCATCATGAAACTGATGTAAGTGACGAACTAGCTGGAGCTGAGGCATCTACGCGCTTATGATTTTGAATATTCCTTTTTGGATTGACGCAGGGGTACTTCGTGGCGCGTTCGGTGGGAGCAGCGTTCGACCAGATGGTTCCAACCTCCCAGCTTCCTCAACGCGATGGCTCCAACGAGCCACTTAAGTTTTTTGGAACTTGGGCTTTCAACTCTGTAGAGTTACTTCTGGCGGACTTTGGCGGTAAGGAAATCCACAATGAGCACTTGTGCTTTCGCTCTTGAGCCTTTCTTGCGCGCTGGCAAGTCGTTCATGAATAAAAGGCCCGGAGGACAGAACCCTGTTGCTTCTGCTGATGCCAATGTTGCTTATTCTGTTTTAAAACCATAATAGTGCTCACCAAGAAACGGAAAGGATGGCGCGGGATGCAGGGAACTGCTGTTTTGCGTGAGCAGCGGGTGCGTACGGCTTGACAGTCGTGCCTATGCATCCTGAAATGAACCCCCGTCGATTTCTGGAAGTGATGATTCACACACGTGAGCAGGAATCCTCCGAGTGTAGTTGTTCTTGGCCTCATCTGAGAAGACACTGCAGCCACATTTGGTTTACGTGTGAAGCGAAGTCGCAGCAGCAAATCTTGTTGTTCTCTTTGTAGTGCCAAAGAAATGAGGCCCTAGGTCTTTGGACTTCAGGCTGGAAAGCCATTTGCAGTGCTTGCGGTATTTCAGAGATGACGCACCTGTGCACTGACTGGCGGCATCTTGAGATCGTTCTCGACCTGCTTGAAGGCGGGCAGCTCTCGAATCTTTCGACAGTCATAACCCTTGATGCGGCAAGTTGTCCTTATGAAGGCCATGACAAAACATAAATTGCTATTATGTCCATGTCTCGTGTGCTTGGTGTTGCGTGTTGCGCTGCTGCCATGAAAAGTAGATTGGTCCTCTGAACACTGCATATGTAACACAGCTGTTAAGGGTTATGCATCTCCTGTTGAATTTTTCAGGTAGGAGACTACACAATAGAGCGAGCAAGGGCACTCAACCTGACTCTCGTGGACTTCTGGGACCTTGTTGACCCCTCGGAAGTAAGGGCGTGTACGCAGTAGTGTTTTGTTAGCGAATTGTCCAATGATGTTGAATGCCATTTCTCCTGATCGTGCTAGAGCTGCGACAGCGTGTGCCCATTATTGCCAAATCATTTAGCAGCAATATCAGCAAGCAGTGGAATAATTCAGTGCTAAAAGCAACGGCTTCTCGCCCTTACTCAATGTTGCTTTTGCCTTGCTGAGACGTCCGACTGACGCTGTCTGCGCGCACTGCAGGGCTTTCCAGGTCAGAGTCGAAAAGTCATCACTCGTTCAGGTTTTGACACTGTGGAGGTTCTTGCTGTCATCTACCCAAGAGGCAAGCCCCACACATCGCCCACACTAACGAGTTAACCGCACTTTTTGGCGTGAAGTTCCAGCAGTATGATTTCTCTAATCTGAAAATTACTCGCGGCTGCTAGCAGCAAGAGCAATACTGTGTAGTCGCAACATGTGTTACGCCGTGTTTCGTTTGGCTAATGAACGCTGCAGCCTTGTCGATGCCTTTCAATGGAGCAATGCTGACAAACGAAAACGTGCTGGCATCTCTCGACACGCTGACGGACTGGAGGGCCAGGGTTTTGTCAATTCTAGAAGGTGTGCCTTTGCAGTTGGCCCTTCAGCTTTCTTCTTATGGTGCATCCTGAACTGTAGGCTCCAGTTTGGCTTCGTTTACCGGATGTGCTGGAGAATAGTTTAACTGTGAGACTTGCTAGACTTTTTTGGCTTTCACAGGCGACCGGGTCCTCTGTGTCGACTCGCTGGCTTCGATCCACCAGCGCGTGATCCATCTCGCCATCATTAGAGCCGGTGCTACTGTGGCGTTTGCCCACCAGGTAAGCAGCCTGCATGATTTAAAAGTTTTCCGTGCATTCCAGATTCACTTAATGGGAGCCACCGTGGACGTGAATAGCCGCGCAGTCTGTGCGTCTTCAATGGAGCCGGAGTTCCCGATTTTCCCAAGATTCCTGGACCCTATGTGCAAGCTGGTTTCTCCTTAGTGGGGTTCTAAGGTGCATGCTAGTCGCTTAAGTGACTATGTTTTGCGTTTTCAACTTTCCGTGGACTCAGGGGCTGCTGACCTTGCGGGAGGATGTCGAGTCATTGCGTCCAACAATGATTGCTGCATCCGGAGGAATCCTGCCGCTGCTCCACTCAGCAGTAAGTACACTTGCATTTAAAAAAGAATATCAGAGCTTCTATGTAAATGGATCTGAGAGGAAAGCTCTGCTGCTTTGTGGACTCCTTTCCAGGCTCGCCGCACACTAAAGCAGATGGGCCGGCTGCGACGCTTTATGCTGCTTCTCAAGCTACGGTGGCGCGCTCGGTCGTATTGGCGAACGGGTGACTTGGAGCTGCAAAGGTTATCGGTCAGTGGCGCTGAGAGTGTTTTTGGACAGCACTGGACAGTTTCTTTTTAGTGCAGTTTTCATTGGAACTGTGTGGCGCATTGTGCTATTCGTCAACTGTCGTGCTTACGAGCAAATTACTAGTGATGAGAAACTGGAATCATATTCATCTTGTGTATATGATCTACTGTGCCATGTGCGTCTCTGCTGTTTTTTACAGCCGTTTGAAGACCTGAAGGAGAAACTGGCTAGCGTTCACACTATCATAGCAGCCCCAGCGTTGGTTTCCAGTGAGATTATAAAAGAACTGCAGTTGATGTACTCCATAAGCATTGTCCATGTAAGTGCATCGCCGAACAAAAAGAGAAAATATACAAAAACGAGCTACACAGATCGTTTTTCCTTTCGCTGTGCAGCCCTGCAACACTTTACGGAAGCCGCTTAACAAACAAAAGCAATCTGCTCAAAAGGAGGCGCATATATATAGCGCATTTTGTGGCCTCTGCATGCATGCATGTTTTATTGAATAGGCCTGCTGCTCCCCTGAAACCGGGATTGCATTTTCTAGCCGCCAGCAGAACAGCAGCCCGTCAGACCCTCAGGACTTCCAGCGAATGCGAGCGGCGCCTCTGGGGTGGGCGTCTCCGGTAGTTACAGTGGCTCTGGAGGAACTGAATGCCACTGACGACGCAGAGTCGATAGAGTTCCACGCAGATGAAGTGCCCGGCAGGAGAGCAGTCACTTCCCCTCTGGTCTTGAATGCTTCTCTGAATGACGGGGACAATGTCAAGGCTGTAGAAAGCGCGACTCCTTTGGAAATGACTCGACCTAGTGTTCGAGGTAGCAGCAAAGGCCACGCAGTGACAGAGTACGTCTGCGCTTTTCCCTTTTACTAGTAGACAGTATGACGGCAGTGCGTAGCCGCATAACTTGACTTTCTGCTGCACACCTTGAGCCAATATTAGTTTCGCTGCAAAAATACTTGAGAGTTGCGTTTTTCACAGGGGGGAGGTTGTCATTCTGGGGCCGTGCGTATCTGTTGGTAAGCAGAAGCTTTCCTGTCTCTCGATTTCAAAGAGCAGCTGTAGCCGCAAAAGCCGTTTCCGTAGAAACACAGCGTGGCTCTTAACTGCATGTACTGGCTTAAGCCCGACGCACAGAAGGGCTTCGGGACTGTTCAAAACATCTTTTTCAGGCTATTACCGGCACCAAACTGCTTTCCAGCGGCAACTGACGAGCCGAGGAATGTACAAAACGGGCCTGGTGGCCGTTTATGCGGGGCCGGATTTGCCTCTTCGGATTGTCAGCGCGTTGTCTCGCAACCTTTTGACTGCTGAAGGGGAATTCATTGACTTAGAAGAAGCCGAAAGACAAATCCGAAAAGTCCCAATAGTTCGCCGCGCTTTGCTCTACGCGGATGACTTCCATGTCAGTCACCCCAATTTCATTCAACCTGTTTCATAGCAAAATTTTCAGACAGATATATGTAAATGCGCAGCAAACCTGCAGCGATGCTGACTTTTAAAGGGAAAATGGACCATGTTTCTTTATCAGCGTGAAATTCTGCTGCACTTGCTGTTTGTTTTTTCCCCTGCAGTCGCCGCTTGTGGCGATCATCCAGCCAAGGAGAAGCGCAGTGCTGCGCTGGGCGAAGACACGGTTTGCCGTAAGTTGCTTGCACCAGCTCTTTTGCACCATTTTGGGGATTTAAATCAGGCATAATGGACTTTTTTTTCGGGAATAAGAGTCTCTATCTTGTCTACTTTTGACAAGAGTCACTGTGGATTTGACCCTGCGGCTTTGGGGCTGCTGTGCGCAGTTTTCCGACGAATACGGAGCGTCTTACGAAGATATTGTGTCACTTCCAGCGCTGCGCGCGTTCGTGCTAAAGCAGATTGAAGAAGAAACGCTGCTGACTCTCGACACATTCGAGAGACCCAAGGCTGTCTACTTAGTGCCCCACGATGTGGAACTCCCCATTGGAGTGTTTGAAAAAGAACACCGACAAAAACAAAACAACTATATCATTCTGCGGCGCCACCTGGCGGACGCATATGCGAAGCCCATTAGGGAGATGTACGCTTCGCTGTCCATGTGACTCATCTTTTCCGTTTTCAAATCCACAAAATGTTCGTGCAATGTAAGCATCATCACCATCTGCAACACCATTAAGGTACTTAACCTGTAAGGCAGAAACGAAATAGGGTATTCATATTTTTTGTTTACAACCTGGCTGACGTCGGGTCTAGACAGCAAAAACGCCATTACTTGACACAAAATACAGTACTTCTTTCGCCCTTGAGAGCTTGCGGTCGCGTTTAGGAATAAATACTCGCTGAAACTCACAATCGCTGCAGAATACCAAGATAATGAAAGCCCGATAGACAAAGTCTATTAATCACTGAGTGCAGCAGCAGCTTCAGGGCAATACATTTAGGGCTTGTGGTGGCTTAGGCATTTTTCCCTTGTCAGGGCTAACAGACCGTAGCTCGGGCACGTGGGGCTCTCTCTTGGGGAGCAATTAAATTGTTCTGAGTGCCCCCAGAGGCTGCAAGTAAAGTGTCTTAGTAAGAGCTTCCTCATGCTTACAGTGCAGCAGCACTACTAAATAAACAAGCAAACTCGCTGGTGTTTGCCTTGCAGCGCCTTTTTCGGGTAATGTAACGAGAGTTTCTTGACTCCGTGCGGGTTTGTGCTCGTGTCTTTTACATACATATGTGTATATAAGCATAGATGCTTAATAGATGACGCAGAGTTACTCGAGCAGCGCTTTCTGAATGGCAGACAGCAACTTCCATTCGCCTCGCTGTGCAGCGCTTGAGCGCCATTTGGGGCTGTTTCTTCAGCTCTGTGCCATCAGTTTTAAAGAAATTAATTTTTTTATGCTACTTGTTCGGATTATAATTCCTGAAGCTCCCATTATAGGTTTTAAAGCGCAAATGCGAATTCTGAATTGGGGCTGGGGCTGCTTTCTGCACTCGTCGCCTCTGGGTCTGGGGCTTTGGATCCGTTCGGATTCTGGTGTTTGGGACAAGAGCGCGATTTCCTGTGCGTTCAAGAGTTGAAGAAAAGAAAAATGTGAATTAATTCCTGCGAGGATCTGTTTGTTAAGGCACAGGCTGCTTCCTGCATTGCAACCCGACCAACCACTGCTGCATGCTGGGCATACACTTTGTCTGTGTCGCCAGCTGGCGCCGTGTTCTCGCCGATGCGGCTTCAGGAATTCGAAACTTGTTGCTTTTTTGTGTTTGAAATGCAAAACTTTCCGGTTGAGTGACTAAGACCGGCTGCACGGCAGGCGCCGCGCCGCTAGCGAGAAGCTGCAAGAATAGGCTGCAGAGTCATGACTAGCCGTAGCTGAAGTTCACGCTGCGCCCCTAGCTGCTGGGTTTCCGAATACTCAGCTCCAATGCAGGCTCAAAACTCCCACAATAACTCGGGGGGGGGGGGAGGAAACAGAGATCTTCAGGGAGTGGCGAACCCTTCGGGGGGGCCCCCGCACCTCATGTTCCCCCACCCCCCCCTCATGATGCCCCCGGGCATTCCGCTCCCCATGGGGCCCCCCTTCCCTGGGGGAGTGCCCCCTGCCTTGCTGCCGGGGGCCCTCGCGCTGCACCACGCTGCAGTGGCAGGTGCTGCTGCTGGCGCTGCAGCAGCAGCAGAGGAAGCTCGCAGAGCTCAAGAGCAGTCCGTAGCAGGTTCTTCTTCCCACGAGGTCTCGGGGTCTGTGGGGGGCTCGGGGGGCTCCTTCGGGGGCCCCCAGGGCGGGGGGGCCCCCGGGGGCCCCGGGGCCCCCGGGGGCCCCCAGGGGCCCCAGCGCGGCGGCCGCTCCCAGGGGGGCCCCCGCGGCTCCGCCAGCAAACGGCAAACGATGGAACGCTCAAGTACCTCCTGGAGGCGCCAGGCCAAAGAGGAGGGGCCCCCAGAGGGGGGCCCCCAGTCGAAGTCGCGGGCGGAGTGGGGGGCCCCCCCGGGGGGCCCCC